TTGCATATCACTGTAATCTGTTGACCAGTAACAGCATTTTCAACATGGGTTAATACCAACACTGTGAATCAGGGGATTTGTACTTAGCATACACATGGTCTACTGCAGACTTAAATACTAACCCATAAATTTAACTGAATTATTGGGTCCATTGCAGGGTTGTGCTTATTTATCCGTAGAACATTGACATCTAGCAAAAATACACATTTCTTTTGCATGTCACTGCCCATATTATACTGTAAAAGAAATACATCATTCAGTGCTCTTCCTAAGAAACTTCCTTAGAGTATCTCTCTCCCTCTCCCTCTTTCCCTCCCTCTTCTTTCTTCTTCTCCTCTTCCCCCCATACATATATCTCACCAAACAAAGGAAAAGCACAATGCTATCTTTAAGATTACCCATTAAAGAAAGAGAGGTAATAACAGTGAAACTGGAACCTCCTCTCCTAATGAGAGGGTTCAGCATGTTATCATTGCTGATCCATTTTGGCTGTGCATTGTGAATAAATTCAATGCATGATTGCTTTGGACAGATGAAGATAACCCCTACATCATTTTGCTAGACACCCTGGGGCATCAGGAACTTCTTTTTTTTTTTTTGTGCGACTGGAGTTTGAACTCAGGGCTTCGAGCTTGCAAAGCAAGCACCCTACCACTTGAGCCACACTTCCAGCCCATGAGTAGCATTTTTGTATTTCATATATTTACCTTAATCATCCAACTATAAGCTGTGAAATAATCAGCATACTTGTGATTTATGCATTGATTTCCATCACCTTCCTTTCCCACTATCAACTCATACTGGATTAAGAGGAAACTGAATTAAGTTACAGAAGATCGGGGCTGCTGGATGGATGTTAACTAGGAGAATGTGTGTGAAGACAGTATGGTCTTCCTCTCCCTCGGTACAAAATCATACAACTACCATGTCTGAGCTGGCTCATGGAGAGTCCTTTTTGGAAGAGGGGATAGTCATATTCTGTGACTACATGGAATGGTCTGGAGGCTGTCTGTACATTAATGGACATGGCAGAAGTTTCTAGAATGGAAGAGGCTGCAACTTGGTAAATTGCAAGCTAAATCCACCTGCAGACGTGTCTCACTTAGTTTTAAATTAACCTTGGTTCTTTAAGACCTAGGCATAAATCCAGGCCAAGGGGGGGATGCAGTCAGATATATGTGAACCCTGAGTATCCTTCATAAACTAGTCAGTGCAGCGCAGGAGATAAAGGTTGAATCTCCTTTGGGAATTGACCTTGTATGTCCCTACCACACAGTTGTCATCTGGTTTTTTTATGTTCTTTGTCCCTCTCATTTCCCCACAGTGTAGTCTTACTGCTCTTAATCCCTTAACCCACCTCAGCCTGGATTTTGACTTCAACCACTCACTTGGAGCAGCTGGCAAGGGTTCCAGTGGCCTTAAGGGCAGAAAGGAAATTCTCCAGTGCAGGTTTCACACCTACCCCTTTAGTCTTTGTACTTCTGCTTGAATGACTTTGTGGCAAAGTCCCAACGTGCCCCCTGCCTCCCCAAGTACTGGGGACTGAACCTGGGGTGGTTTTGTATATGGTAGACAAATGCCCTGAGTAAGCTTTTTTTTTTTAAATCCTTTGTAAAATTTACATAGTTTCATTCTGAAATCTATTCTGAAAAGTCCCAGTAGATCTATTTGGGATAAAGCACCAAGGCCAGGAGTCTTTGATTTCAGAGTAGCCTTAACCACTTCTGTTTTGCCTTGGTCTTGCCTTGGCCTGTTTTCATTTGGTGTTTAAGGCCAAGTGAAAACGAGGGCAGCCATAACTAGTAGTTAGATAATGCTGAACAGTTTATTTGACAGTTTTACATGGATCACCACATTTGATTCTTCTAACCCACTATGAGGTAGGTATTAGTGTTGAAATTACAGAAGTGATTGAACTTGCAAATAGCTTGCTGTCTGTGCTTGTTGAGGGATACCTGGGGATGCCCCGGGATTGGGTTCTGGAGCTCCCTTTGTCCAGCACTGGGTGGGAGCGTGTACCTGTGATTCTTGGTGGCCCTTCTCTTTTTCCTTTCTGTTGCCCTTTGCGTTGCACCATAGCTTCATGGGCAGGAGCCTGGAGTGTGGGGCAGGTGGAGTGGGAACAGAGAACGGGGATAGAGTCTTCTGGGGGATGGTCAGGAACTTGCCAGGGATCATTAAGCTCCCAGATCTCTGCCTCAAGAACCAGGGGGAAGTATACTTTGGTGGTTGAATGCCTGGAGGTCATGAGTTCAGGTTTATTTTTTTCCAGGATCTGCCTTAAAATGACTGGACACAAGAAAAAGTTGTAAAGAGGTGTGATTTGAAGATGTGTCCTTGGTGCTCAGGAACCCATTTTCGCTCCAAAAGAACTATTGATTTATTTTAAGTAAATAAATTAATAAGTTGGTTGTAGTTGAACAAATTCTTTTCTCTTTTAATTTTTATAATTAATTTTTTTATGGTACTGGGGATTGAACCTGGGCCTTATGCATGCCAGGCAATTATTCTTCTAACATTTCCAGATATACATGTATTTTTTTCCTCTTCTTTTTTTGTTGATAATTGGAGTTTGAACTCAGGGCCTTGTGCTTGCTAGACAGGTGCTGTACTACTTGAGCCATGCCCTCAGCCCCCCCCCACTTTTTTTTTTTTTTTTTGGTGGGACTGGGGTTTGAATTCAGGGCTTCAGCTTGCAAAGCATGTGCTTTACTGCTTGTGTCACAACTCCAGACCATTTTTGCTCTGGTTATTTTGGAAATGGGAGTCTCATGAACTGTTTTTACCTGGACTGGCATTGAACCACGATTCTTCCAGTCAGCCTCCCAGGTAGCAAGGATTATAGGCATGAGCCACTGGTGCCCAGTTCCCAGGCTTTTTTTGCTTAGTTATTTTTTGGATAGGGTTTTGTGTTTCTTGCTCCGAGGCTGGCCTGTGAGCATGGTCCTCCTACCTTTGCCTCCAACTTACTTTTGTTTAGATGGGGTTTGATTAACTTTTTGCCCAGGCTGGTTTCGAACTGAGTTTCTGTATATCTCTACCTCCCGAGTAGCTGGGATTCCAGGAGTAGCCACCATGCTTGGCCAGATATTTCTTGATTTATATTTATTTGTTTATTTATTTATTGGCAGTGAGTTACTTTCATGTCTGCTATTTTCCTTAACTCCTCGAAATCTTCCTACAGCCTTTTAATTTTAAACATCAAATTCTTTCTTCAAATAAAATGGCACAGCAAACTTGATTTGTGAAGTAGATCAAGGTAATCTTTCATTTGTGTAAATTTTTTCTAGATGTTTGAATTTATACCATTTACTAATAAAGTCAGTGAGAATAGTGAAGCTTTTTTGATAGACATGAACACTTGAAACAAGTTAAAAAGATTTCAGTCTTCAATTTTTTTGTTTTTCCTTGTGAGATGGAGTCTCTCTACGTTGCCCAGGCTGGCCTCAAACTGATCCTCCTGCCTTAGTCTCCTGAGTAGCTGGAATTCCATGTGTGCTACCACATCCAACTAGTAGATAATTTTAATAAAGCAGGTTGGTTTGTCAGTGAAGGATAATTTTCAATTAAATTGACAAAAATGTTTGAAAGAGGATTTTTCATCAGAGCTGTAAAATTCAGAGAAGAAAGTTCATCGCACAAGTACTAAGACTGTTGTGCTAGAATTCAGCTCTCAGCAGGTCAGAGGTCAGTCTACACAGCCAGCACTGACTATAGTGTGGAGGCACAGCTGCGCCTGCCACTGTGTTAACTGTGGCCATGCTCTCATCAGGATACTTGCTTGCATTGTGCTAGTCGATGGGGCTGGGCTTGTGCCTAGCTTCTGTAATTGGTACCAGTCCTGAGAAGTGTTGGCTCGTGCCAAAGCTCTTCAGTCTCCACAAGAGTCAGTCAGCAGTTGGAGGCTCTGATGGGTCACAGTTTGACACATAAATCATTTGATTGTGGGCCTGCCACTTTATTTTATTTTATTTTTTTTGGCGGGACTGGGGTTTGAACTCAGGGCTTCAGGCTTGCAAAGCAGGCACTGTACTGCTTGAGCCAAACCTCCAGTCTTGCCTGCCACTTTAAAATGGGGTTCCTACCATCAGCTCTCTGGGATAATGGAGAGGATTGGGGAAGTGAGGCGGGAAGGAAGAAAGGAGTTAAAACAAGTAAAAAGTCAGTGCCAGCAAGGATTCATTCTCACCTTTTTGCAGACAGGCCAGGTGAAGGGTTTTTGTTTGTTTGTTTGTTTGTTTTTTTGAGATAGTGTCTCACTGTGGAACCAGGTTGGCCTGAAAGTTGTTATCCTCCTGAGTACTAGGATTACAGGTGTGTATTACCATGCCCATCTTTTCTTTTCTTGCAGGACTTGAACTCAGGGCCTACACCTTGAGCCAGTTCATCAGCCCCCCCCACTTTTTTTTTTGTTGTGTGAAGGATTTTTTTGAGATGGCTTTTGAGAACTGTTTGCCTTGGCTGGCTTTGAACCTCGATATTCCTCATTTCTACCTCCTTAGTAGCTAGGATTACAGGTGTGAGCTATCAGTGCCCAGCACACACCCATCTTTTATGTGAAGTTTGACTCTAGCTCATTGTTGTAACTGCTGCTGAATGAAAAAGTGGGTTTGGGACTCCATATAGAAGACGAAGAGATGAGCTTTGGGGGCTTTGGCCCATCCTCCCTTCCTCTCTTCCTGAGCAGCTCTGCTGAGAGTCTGGGTCTCTGTGGGCCTGGTGTGGAGCTGCTGTCGGATTTAGAGTCCCTTCTCAGCGTGGCTTTCATTGATCTGTTGACTGCTCACATAAGATTGAAAGTGACTTCATGACTCCGGAAGTGTCTTCAGAAACCCTAAGAACCCATGCAGTGGGCAGGGTGACACAACTGCCCTGAATCAAAATATGACAGATTACTCAGACATGGCTTCTCTGGCATATTTGAAGAATGCTGAACCCAGGTCTTTTGAGGAAGGGACTGAGGAACAGCTTACTGATGTTTTTTTCAATTTCTTTGTCAGGCATCAGAAGAAGCCTCCCTCAGGGCATTGGAAAGTCTGATGACAGAATTTTTCCACGATTGTACGACCAATGAAAGAAAACGTGAAATAGGTGAGTGCAGTGGTAGTCGTACAGTCATTTATAGCAGGCAGGGATGAAGGAGCTGGTAGCCTTGGCTGGTCCTGGGAATTTGCTTGTTCTTTGTCTTTTGCTTCTGCTGGTTGCAAACCTGGCTCAAGGGCACATCAATGGATAGTAATATAGTGAGGATTTTCTTTCCTTTGGTCAAGTGTAATCCCCCCCACTCCCTCACCGCCCTTTGTTCCTAATTTCGGCAGTATTGCTGAACTTTTTTGAGAAACCTGCAACTTTCATGAGTTTACAAAATGAACATGTTTTGTTGTGCAGAGGTCTGGTATTACTTTTGAGGGCTTCTACCTTCTTTTTCCTTTACTCCACTGTTACCTTTCCTATTCTGATAAAGGCTTCAAACAAGAGAGATGTAGTAGAGTCACTTCCTGTCTCCTGGGAACTGTGCATGTTCTGGAACCCATTTTTGATGTTTGTTTTCATTACACAGTATTAATTAAAGAGCATTTGAGTGTCAGATTTCTGCCACTGTGGTATAGAGCAGTCTTTTTCCTGTGAGTCTCACTGCTGAACTTGAGAATGAAAGATACTTTTCTGTATTCCAACCTAAGGCTTTTTCCTTGGGTTCTGATTGCTCTATGCTAACCTTAGTTATTTCCACCTCCTTGAGGTCTTCTGTGGCTCCAGGACCCCAAAGGACCATTTCTCTGTCTCCCTTGCTTCTTTAACCATGTTGGCCAATTAAATGTCATGATGGATTCCACTTGTGGCCCAAAGCTTGGTTGGGGTTCAGATTTTTCTGGAAGATTGTTGAAGATCCGTGGCTCCATTTTATCCACTCCATCCTTTAAACATCACATCATCTCCTGATAGATGCTCCTTCTTATCCCTTTTAATTTTAAACTCAGTGTCTTTTTTGGATCTGCCCCCTCCCTACATGTCTTTCTGTTTTGAGGATGTGCACTGTAGAGCATCAGAATTTACAGACAAGAGGTCACTGATGGAAGTTGAGCCCAAGCAGTGGTGAGGCATCTGGCTAAGAAGATCTTCCCTGCTGTTTTCTCTGATTCTCTTATTGCCTTGCCACTGGCCCATCGTGACTCCCTGGTTAGTATTAGGCCACTGGAGTACCATAGTGAAGATCTCTTTACCAAAGGAAATGGAGTACCTTTCCCTTAACTAGTATACTATAGTCTCACGCTCTAATTTCTTTGAAGTCTGTTTTTTTTTTCTTTTTAGGTTGTAATATGCTTTTGGTTTTTCTCTTAGTTTTTGGTTTGCAAATCAAATGTTGCTCACCTTGCGTGCTTATAAATTAAAAGTGGAACCTTCTATAGCATGTTCACACTTGAATCTGATTTTAAAATAGCTTTAAATAACCAGATGCTACAAATGTCTAATTGAAATGTGGGCCAAGGAGAACCTGGAGGTCTGGTTCTGTGCAGTAGGTTGTCTCCTTTCAGTTCTCTTTGTAGCTTTTCTTGATAGCATTATTTGAGTGTATGGGCTAGAAACACTTTTTGCTTCTTTTCTATGGTCAAAGGGTAAACTAAAGGCATTTTCTATTGAGATGGCAGAAATGAGGTCTGGTCTTGAAAGGGCTCCACTTACCCTTAAGCAAGGGTCAGTTACTTACTAGGGCCAGAGATGCTGATAGAGTGCTTAGTGGGACCTCATGAGTCTGGCGATTTCAACAGGAAGTAGAAGCATCAGGAGGAGCAGTGGCTTGCTGCTTGGGATGAGACTCAGTGAATAGTGGCCCCCAGAGGGCCTCTGTTCCAGCCACGGTTCCCGGCATTTTTTTATTTTTATTTTTTGTGGCACTGGGGTTTGAACTCAAGGCCTCATGCTTGCTAGGCAGGCGCTCTACCACTTGAACCACTCCACCAGCCCTCTCTCTTTGCTTTGACTTCATCTTTCATCTCTGGAATGCATAGAGACTTTTGCTTAATTATCAGGATTGGTTGTCATCTTCCTTTTATGGAATTTTTAAAGAGACTGCCTTGTGGTATTTAACCTAAATTGCAGGGAACACAGCGAGCCGTGACATTTCACAGCTAGTGCACTAGGTCTAGAGACATGGCCTGCTGCCTGGCGAATTTTTCCTCCACTGCCTACGGTGGAGGAAAACCATTTTTAATGATTCTGTGTGTGGACAGGGCTGCACCTGGCAACTCTCAAGACATGATTGTTACTCTCACAACCCGGGGGGCGAGGGTATTTGGTATTTTAAAACAAAACTGACCAAATTGAAGTGAGTTAGCCAACTTGAATTCTCTTACATTTTTTTCTGAGCTTGTCTTTGTGAGGCTTTTTTTTTTTTTTTTTTTTTTTTTTTAAGTTTCTCTTCCTCTGCCTCTCTAGCTGTCATTGTGTGAACATTGTAGACATTACTGAAGTTTCTCATAGAGGAGTGGTGAGAATACAGCTTATGTCTGAGGAAAGCAGCTAGCCATCATTTTTAAGAAGGTGAAATGATACTCTTGTAATTTGCTCCCCACACATTACCTAAATCACAACTTTTAACAGTGCATCTCTGCTTGCCAATGCATCCATAGTAGTTCCTGGCTTTCAGATATTGGAGAGCACTGTCTGCCTTAATGGCCACCTCAGAGTCAGAATAGTGCATGATTTTTTGTTCTATCTTAAAGAATCAACTAGGTTTGGTGGTTGGTTTTGATACCATTTGTATTGTATGGAGAGGCAAATTTTAAAAAGTGATAAATGGTTCAGTCCTGTATTAATTTCATGTGTTTTACAGTCTTCTTTTGTTGCTATCTCACTTTTACAGAGGAGCTTCTTAATAACTTTGCTCAGCAAATAGGAGCCTGGAGATTGTGCCTGTATTTTCTGTCCAGCACTAGGAATGACTATGTGATGATGTACAGTTTGACAGTTTTCGAGGTGAGTTGTCAGGCCATTTTATACTTCACTGAAGTCATTGGTGGTCACAGTGCCATGCCATTGGCACTAGACCTTAATTGTGATCCTCAGACAACTGGGAAGCGGAGGAGACTCAGCCAGGGGCTTCACCCTGGCACTGCCTCTGTTCTCCTCTCAACTGCAGAAAGAGCGGGTGGGCGTCGGCCCTGTGGTTCAGTATCTGGACTGTGTTTGGTGACGAGGGCCTCTGCCTTTCCTGCTGCACTTCAAAAGAGAAAGCTAAACTGAAGAAAAGCATTTTGGGAGGAGTGGTGACACCAGTAACACCAGTGTCCCCAACCACAAAAACACTCGTTTATGTTAACTCTATTCCAATTCTTATCTTCTGTGTACACTTAAATAATCTCATGTTATCTTGTATTCTGCACCCCAACTTACCTTTGCAGTACAGTCTCATAAGTAATTGGGCGACTGTCTAATAAGTCACTTTATTTATTTATTTGGTGCTATGTGTGTTTGAACTCAAAGCCTTGCACTTGGTAGGCAGGTGCTCTATTACTTGAGCCATGCCCCCAGCTCTTTTTTTGCTTCAGTTATTGTCCAGATAGGGTCTCATGCTTTCTGCCCAGAGCTGGCTTTAGATCGCAATCCTCCTACCTGTGCCTCCCACGTAGTTGGGATTACAGACGTACCACCATCCTGGCTTGTTTGTTGAGATGGGGTCTCATTAACTTTTTGCCTAGAAGGGTCTCAAACCATGATCCTCCTGAACGCTCCTTCCCAAGTAGTTGGGATTACAGGCGTGTATGATCATGCATGAACCTATTTTTGTGTTTTTGAGACAGGGTTTTGCTATGTATCCCAGGTTGGCATCGAACTTACAGTATTCCTTTCCCAGCCTCTTAAATGCAGGAATTACTTGTGTACCACCGCACCTGGCTTATTTGCTTTTTTTTTTTTTTTTTTTTTGTCTTTATCTTTTTTGGTCCTGGGGATTGAACTCAGGACCTCACATATGCTAGGCAAATGCTCTATCACTGAACTACATCCCAGGCTCTTTTTTTTTTTGGGGGGGGGTAGAACTGGGGTTTGAACTTAGGGTATTGAGCTTGCAAAGCAGGCATTCTACTGTTTAAGCCACACCTCTAGTTTTTATTTGCCTACTTTTAAACATTACAGTTGTTCCCACTCTTCCTTTCCTCCTTCCCTTCTTCCCTCCTTCCTCTTTTTTGCAGTACTGGGGCTTTGAACTCAGGGCCTTTTCGCCTTGAGCCACTCCACCAGTCCTATTTTTGTGAAGGGTTTTTTCGAGATAGGGTCTTATGAACTATTTGCCTGGGCAAGCTTCAAAATGCAATCCTTCTGATCTCTGCCTCCTGAGTAGCTAGGATTACAGGTATGAGCCACTGGTGCCCGTCGACAGTTGTTTCTGTCATTAGTTTTTGATGCTTATTAGAGACTGGCATGATAGAAAGATTTTTCATATACAACTTTTTACATGTTAAATTATTTAGCAGCTCTTCCCAGGAATGGGATTACTGTCTCAGAAGGCTGTTAATATTTTTATATCTCTTTTTGCCAAAGGCCCCAAACTATTATTTTTGTAGGGGTGGGTGGGGTGGGTGTTATAGCTAACCATGGGATGAAACCCAGTCATTTTTGCATCTAGATTTGTTAATTTAAAACATGTATATTTGTTTTTCAGAATCTGATCAATAAAATGTGGCTTGGGGTCCCATCTCAGGATAAGATGGAAATACGCAGCTGCCTGCCCAAACTTCTTTTGGCTCACCATAAAACCTTACCTTACTTTATCCGGAATAAACTCTGCAAAGTTATTGTTGATATTGGACGTCAAGATTGGCCAATGTTCTACCATGACTTTTTTACTAATATCTTACAGGTAAGGATATACCTGAGAAAACTCTGTCTTGTAAATAGTTTGTTTGTAGAAGTGATTGTTTCTTTGTGTTGGAGAGTTTTGAGATTAGTGTTTTGAAACTGCAGCGGCAAGATTATTGTAGGATAGGTTATTGCATTCACTTCACTTTATATTCCTGAGACATGCTGTCTTTTTGTGCAGTGGAGAAGGAAGGGGAGGAAACCAGCTGCTTTGTTAACCTCTTGGGAAATTATGTTCAGCAAGTCTTTGAAAGCCTGGTTGGTGTTGCACCAGTGCCGTGAGTAAGGATGGAGGACTCTGGTAGTTTCAGAATTTAGTGGGAAGGTAGCAGTATTAACTATAATGAGCGAGCCAGCACTAGGTGACTTTCTGAAGTGGAATAGTATGCATAGTGCAGCACTGTTGCAGCAAGGCTCAGTGGTGCTGGGGTGAGGTGTGAGGTCCTTGATTGAGAGGCTGTGTTGATGGGCGGGCAGGGAGGTTTTGATGTATGATTCATAGTCCTTTCTTGGGACCAAATGATAAGTTTTGAGGGCCAAAAACATGGTCACACTTTCATGATGGAATGATGACTCTAGCTCATGTCCTGTTAGGAAGTCCTGGAAAGATGAGGCAGATCTGAGCCAAGCAGAAGAACCCTGATCTGGTAGATGGAGGTGAGGCATCTGGGGGACAGGGCAGGAGGCTTTAGTCATTGACTAGTTGGTAGTGGTGAGGGAAGGGACGAACCTCAAGTGACTTCCAGGTTTCTGGCTTAGATATATTTTCCAGGCCAAGGACTAAGGAAAGGACATAGGACATAGTTTTGGGCAGAAGGTGGATTGTGAATTCAATTTGGCAAGAAGGCATTTAACATAGTGTGTTTTTTTTTTTTTTTTTTTTTTTTTTTTTTTTTTGGTGGTACTGGGGTTTGAACTCAGGGCTTCATGCTTACTAGGCAGGCACTAGTAGTTTTTATTATTTTTTTATTTATTTTTTGGCAGTGCTGGAGTTTGAACTCAGGGCCTGCTTGCTAGGCAGTTGCTCTTACTGCTTGAGTCACTCCACCAGCCTAAGAAGGCATTTAGGATTTATGTGTTCCTTCTGTGTGCTGTCTAGTGGGACATAGGAAATGTGCATCTGGGCGTAGGAGGAGGCCTGACTCTGGGTCAGGATTAGAAGCTATTGAGAATAGGTGGGCCTCCAGGCCTAGGCGGGTGCTATTGCCCACTTGAGTCCTATGAGCAAGGCTGGAACATTTTTCCATGTTGCTGAGGTGGTGGGTGAATAGGAAATGGATGTTATGTACAGTTTAGAGAAGTGACATTCTTTGAAAAAGTGGCTATAGTTAGGGTTAGGTTAGGGTTTTCCAGAACAATATAATTTTCTAATGTTTTGCCTGCTGTTCCTACAGACCATTTGATGACGCAGCAATTTAAAAACATTAAGCCGCCCTATTGCTTCTCTCAGTTTGCCTGTCAAAGTGGCACAGTTTGTAAAACAAAACTGAGTTTTGCTTTACATAATGATTCATTTATCTGGAGACTCATCAGATTGATTCTGCAAAGGAGATTAATGCATTTATTCAGTAAATTGTTGAATACCAGCTGTGTCCTCACCTTGGACACATACCAAGCCACACTCTGGAGTCACTCATGGTCCTGAACCCTGTGCTTACTGTGTAATACATACCTATGATAAAGTTTAATTTATAACCCAGGTGCTGTATAGATCACCAACAATAACTAACTATAAGGAATGATTATGACAGTCTCTACAAGGAGAGTTAAGTGAATATGGGCCCACTCTCTTCCTGAGTGCCTTCCTGTATTCCGTGTTGTCCCTTCAAGGAAGCACTTGATGGCCTCTCTGGGGCACATAGGAGTGGCTAGCATGGCAGCTCTTGTGTTTTAAGCTTGTAGTAAGTAAAATAAGGGCTACTTGAACTTGGCCACTGCAGTTCTGGGACTGTGATCTGATAGTGCAGATGGTGACTCTTTGACATGGGTGGGTAGCGTGTACAGCCAGCACAAATTGGACAAAGGGTTGATTCGCACCAGAGCAGATTGTTACAAGATACCATGAGATTTTATGAGGCTACTCAGAATGGCATGTAATTTAAAACTTCTGAGTAGTTTATTTCTGGAGTTTTCCCTTTAACGTTTTCAGACCATGGTTGATTATGGGTTATTGAAACCTCAGAAAGTGAAGCTGGGTAAGGGAGGACTACCATGCAAAGTACCTGCCCTTGTGGAGTTTATAATCTCCAGGTGAGGCACCAGTAAACAATAGGAAACAATAAGAAAAGAAATGGAAAACACTTTGAGATGTTACACGTATTATCACGAAAACTAACTCCAGGTAAGGCAAGAGACAGTGAGGTGTGTAGATGGCATGCTGGTGGGTGGCTTTTCTGGGGAACAGACATTTGAGCAGAAACCTGAGAGGAGGAGCTATGGAGTGAGCCGTGCGGGTGTCTAGGGGAACAGTGTTGTGGGCGAGGAAACAGCAAGTGCAAAGAACCTGAGGAATGGTGAAGAGGCCAGTAAGCTGGAATGGTGTGTCATGAGGCCAGAGGCTGTCCTGGCTCTCTCTCTCTCTCTTACAGACTCTGGCCCTCACTCCAAGTTGAGGATGGCTGTTTGAGATGAGATGGACAGGTCAGGACAGGTTAGGCTAAGTGAGTTCAGTTGTGTCTGTCAGTAGTGTTCTGGGAGAGGCAGCCAGGGAGTGGGAGGTGGAGAGCCAGAGTCCTGCTGTAGCAGGTGAGAGGAGCATGTTTCCTTCCTGGCGAAGCACAGAGCATCTCCTATCTGCTTTTGAAGTCTGTTTATAAGAAATAAGAATTGGGAAGAGCACTTGCAGCTGAAGCTCTTATAGAGGGTTAAAAAGGCTTGTAGTCTACCTCCGTCTCTACCACTTGCCCCTTTGCATTTGTTCACAAATGGCTCTGTGACCTTCTGAAGCTTTCCCAACTTTGAACCCTCTACACTATGGCAAGGGCCTAGACTGGGAGGCCCAAGGCTGAGTTCTGCATCCACCTGTGTGTCAAAATATCTTTGAGTTTAGCAAGTCTGCCCACTTCCTTGTGAAGTGACAGGGTTAGGCTGAATGTCTGTAATTCTTTCCAGTGTGTCATTTCCCACTTACCCACACCAGCTGGTCACTGCTTACATTCCATAGACTAATGAGAAAGGAAACCTTTTCTTCAGGTGCTAAGCAAGACTGAACTTGTTTTGAAATAAAATTCACCATCACACCAACCTTTGAGTAAACCATCTAATCTTTTTTAGTCTCAAGTCCATCCTGGTCTGTTTGCAGTCTGGAGTGCATAATTTTGTCTTCATTGTCTTTTTTTTTTTTTTTTTTGGTGGTACTTAGGGCCTTGTGTTGCTAGGCAGGCACTCTTACCACTTTTTGCATTGGTTATTATTTTGACATGGGGTCTCACTTTCTGCCTGGCTGGCTTGGATTGTGATCCTCCTATTTATACTTCTCCTTGTAGCAGGAATGATAGGCATACAATACCACATCCAGCCACTGATTGAAATGGGTGTGTCATGAATATTTTTGCCTGGGCTGGCCTTGAATCTTGATTCTCCCCATCTCTTCCTCCCAAGTAGCTAGGATTACTGTCTTGAACCACCATGTCCAGCTCTGTTATTTTGTATTTTTAAAAAGCTCTGTGACAGTTAGGAATATCTGCAGGTTATGCTGTAACTGTGGTGGCCACCATACCCTGTGTAGATGAGTTGATTCAGGGCCCCAGAAGCAACTTAACGCCCTGTGAGTTGGCTGTGTCCTTTCTAAAGCACTGGAGAAGGAAGTAGTTGAAGTAGAAACTTACTTCAGTTTTCTCCCACTCTCAACTCTACACATCAGCACACACATGGCACCTTTCCAGAATCTGTTTTTCAGGTTCCTGAAATCTGCTGAGCCAAACCTTTGGTGACATTGTGTGTGGGCTCAGATAATTAAGACCAAAAGTCTAGGAGTTACTGCTTCTTCTCTGATTAGGTGTCTAATAAAAACTGATGAACCTTTTCAGAAGTTCACTAGAAGCCTGAATGTGTTTTTCAACCTAAAGATACTGTGTATTGAAATTAGCTGCAGAGATTACCTGTGGTAGAACCTTAATTGTAAAAGGGAAGATGGTAAAGAGAAGTATCATTTCAATAAAAACGTGATGAGAACAGCCACAAAAACCAAAGCTGTCAGGAAGAATGACTTTTCTTTTTCATCTGATTTCTTGCTGACCTTCTCTCCTTCCACTAAGTGATGAGAGAAGGGACCACTTTAAGATATACTGTCCATACTGTAGGAGGAATTTCCTCTGGGGAGCCCAGAAGTATTTCATACCTATAGAAAGTGAGGATTTCTACATGGAGTATTTGTCAGTATGGGTCATTCACAGTTGAGAGAGTAAGAATGAGGGATTAGGGGCAAATAGAGACAGAAGAGGTAGAGGAGAAAGGACAGAATGAAAGAGGGAAGAGGGACACTTTTAGAATACAGTTGGTGACCCAGAGTTCTGCAAATGACAGAGAGGCTATGGAGGGTCAGTTCTGCTTTATTATGGAATGAGACTGAGTGGGGGTGGGGCTCCTATTCCTCTTCTAGTGCATTATTTCAATTTAAGTTAGTGTTAGAAATACTTCAGTTTTGTAGAAAATAAGGAGAAAAATTGTGGAAGATGTTCTTAAAGTTTTAGCATCAAGAGAGCTGGGATTTTTTCTTCTTTTTGAGACAGTCTTGCCATGTAGCCCAAGCTAGCATGGAACTTGTGATGCTCCTTCTTCTGCTGGGATTACAAACGTACACCATTGTACCTGGCAAAAGCTGGTAGTTATAGAGGGCCTTTTTATGGTATTGAGGTTTGAACTCAGAGCCTTGAGCTTTCCTAGGCAGGTCCTCTACTACATGAACTATGCCCCCAGGCCTTTTTACTTCAGGTGTTTTTCAAGTAGGTTCTTACTTTTATGCTCAAGCTGACCTGGACTAAGACCTTCCTATTTACACTTCCCATGTAGCTGGGATGACGGGCATGCCATCATGCCAAGTTTTCAATGGTTGAGGTGGGGACTGTCCTCGACCCTGGATCCTCCAGACCTCCACTTCCCAAGTAGCTAGGATTACAGGTGTGAGCACTCATGCCCAGTTTTTGGAGAACATTTTTACCACCCTGTCCATTGCATAGTGCTGCTTCTGAGGGCCACTGAATTATTCCTAATTTCTCACTGCTCATTGCTTTCCTTTCTTTTTGGGAGATGAGCTTTTCCTTGGTCTGTGATGGGGGAGTTATTTTCTAGTAAAAGGAATTTCTTGAAGTGAAGAATATCTGGTTTGTATGGATGCAGTTCCTGAGTGTCTTCTTCCCCAAAGTTTATAAAGCTGGATTGAACTGAGGGTCTCATGCTTGCTAGGCAGATGCTCTACTGGTTGAGCTACTCCACCAGCCCCTTAGCAAAGCTTTTGTCACTTAAGTGACAAACATTTATATCAGGGTATGAACTACATTTTTTTTTTTTTTTGGCAGTAGATTGAGTACACTTGTGAGGCAGGCGCTCTACCACTTGTGCCAGCCCTGAACTACATTTAAAGTTAATTATGAAAAGGGGAAATGCTCTTTAAATTGCTTTTCAGTAGATTGTGGCATGTAACTCAGCAGAGACCTTCAGTGGCAACTCACTTTCATTATTTTTGGAACCAAAAAACAAAACATAATAATAATATTGTGAATTCCATGAAAATGATAAGATGTAAGTAGTATCAGGCTATTGAAAGGGTAACTTTTTTTTTCTGTTTCTTATGTACTTATGCTAGAGAGACTATTACAAGTCTAGAAGAAGCAGTTTAATTTGCTACGTAGGTATTTGTAAAAACATAACTGTAGTATAAGTAGTTTATTTTTTAAAAATTTCCCCTCTTCACCCTGAGTAGTAGCAGTTTAATGACATATGTGTGTTGCTGCTGTGTCACATTTAATCTATTTAATCTTTTTTTTTTTTTTTGGTGGTACTGGAGTTTGAACTCAGGGCTTTGTGCTTGCTAGGCAAGTGCTCCTCCACTTGAGCCATGTCCCCAGCTCTGCCATATTTAATCTTGAATTTTCTTGAAGCATGTAGAGTTATACATCTAAAATCTAGAATTGTAAAAGTTGACTTAGCAACCTGAATGTTGAAAAGATACCACAAACTGATCTATCTATATGTATATATACGCTAATCACTACTATATAAAATATGTGTACCCCTAACATACGTACAGTCATATGTCCCTTGACAATGGAGCATATTATGAAAAGTGCATTGTTAGGTGAACATCAGAGAGTATTTACACACCCCTGGATGGTAGAGCCTAATACACACCTTGGCTACAAACCTGTACCTCATGGTACTCTACTGGGTATGGTGGGCAGCTGGGACTCAGTGGTAAATATTTGTGTATATTAAATATATCTTACCATGGAAAAGGTACAGCAGAAATACAAGGTGATAGGAATTTTCATCTCCATTATAATTTGAGATCACCAGGATATGTGTAGTTTGTCCTCAACAGAAATTCAATGTGATCCTCCCCCCAGCCTGTCTTGTGTGTGGTGTATGTGTAAAACTTGGTTACTGAGGCAACGTAACCAAAACTGTTGAGAATCTGGACTTGCATAGTAATTGTCATTTTAGATATAAAAGAACATTATTTTCTAGCTGTTTTTAAGTTAATGGTATTAGAAAATATTTATGTAGTTATATTAATTTTTTGTGGTACTGGGGGTTTGAACACAGGGCCATGTATGTGGTAGGCAGTCATTCTACCACTAGAGCCATGCCCCCCAGCCCTAGAATTTTGTTGTTAAAAAAGTTGAGGAATATGTTTTGAATGGTTAGTAAGGTAAAGCTACATAAATGACTTTTCAGACATTTTTCTGAAACATTGACTTATGTAGTCTGTTCACATAAAGTTAAACACATAAAGGTACTTCACATATTTAATGCTACTAAGTCTTCTTTGTACCTCTTAGTCTGACACTGCTTAGAGCTTGCTTTTTCCTGTCAGTTGATTCAGTCCCCTGTGACAACCCCCCTTGGGCTGATCATGTTGAAGACGACTTCAGAAGAGCTAGCTTGTCCCCGTGAGGACCTCAGTGTGGCTCGGAAGGAGGAGTTGCGGAAGCTGCTGCTGGACCAGGTGCAGACCGTGCTTGGGCTCCTGACAGGTGAGCAATTTGTGCCCAGAGCTTGTTCAGCCTCTTGGCTGTTGGTGAGACTCACCACAAAAATGGAAGGAGTTGAGTGCTGTTTTCCAGCAGCCATAGCATAACCCACTGGCTAGCCCGTGGTAGGACTCCAGAATAGACTTGTAACCTGGTTTCCTCCCTATCTTTCCTTACTTGGTCCTCACTATAACTACAATTAATGAGATGCCATCCATGTCATGGGATGTGATTGAAAATGCTGACACTAGAGTTTAAGTAGGTGGATGGCAAGCTCTTCATTGAAGATAATCTGAATTTAAAATCAGGAGAAGTTGGAGGAGTAGCTTGATGTGAAAAATTCCCATTCTGTGTAAGGAGATGTGACAAGGTGTGGAATTGGCATCTGTACCTAGGTTGTAGTTATATGGGGCATTTCATAGCATCTCCTTAATTAGAGCCTTATGACAATGTGTAAAGAGTAAGAATGAACAGGAAGCACACCACCCATGAGGCCTGGGGTAGATGGAGTGTCCCCAGGGGCAGTACTGTGGTGGCACTGCTGGTGGGGCCTGCTTGGCAGGGCTGTGTGTACAGTACCTGGCCACCAGGCCAAGCCCTTGAGGTGCCAGGAGCTCAGGCCTGCTGTTGGAAGGGGTTGGAGTGAGAAAGAGTGTTTTAATTCCAGCTGCTCCACCTAGATTGCTTCTTGGACCTCTGGGAGCTTTCTTTTGTACATCTACCATAGTGCTTGGCATGTGGTGGACACTTAAATTTGGTTGAAAGAATGATTGACTGAAGGTGAATTTGTCACCCTCACCCTTCCTTAAATCCCAGGCTGAACCTCAGAACATTTATTCATTCAAGACACGCCATTAATATTAATACCCAATTAGGTGTTACATCATAGTGAGCATGTCTTACGCTTCTATGTCCTGTACCTGCCAGCATTTAAAATATTCTAAGAATTGAGATGTAATTTACATGCCATAAAATTCACCATTTTGAAATGCAACAATTCAGTGGTTTTTAAGTATACCCACAAGTTGGGTGGCCATCACATCACCACTGTCTAATTCCAGAACATTTGTATCATCCCAGAAAGAAACCCTGTGCCCAGTAGAGGTCACTCTCCATTCTGCTGTCCCTCCAATCCCTGGGGTTCACTAATCTACCTTCTGTTTGTGGATTTGCTATTCTGGACATTTCATTAAATGGAGTCATCTAATGTGTCTGGTTTCTTTCACTAACATCATGTTTTTAAGAGTTATCCATGTTTCAATATTAACTATTTGGGGGATAAAAAATTTTCACAAGCTCCTATGATCATCTGATGTGCCAGGCTCTGCAGAAGCACAGGAGGAATAAAATAGTTCCATCATCAAGAATTTACACATTCCTGAGGGAGACAGCTAAAAAATAGCAGTTAAGAGTTACACTAGAGGGCTGGGGTTGTGGCTTATGGTAAAGTGCTTGCTTAAGGCCCTATACTGCCAAATAAAATAAAATGACATTTTAAAAAACTACTCTAGATGAGAGTTTCATATGCAGGCAAACGTAGGTAGGCAGAGAGACTTCCTAGAGGAGGTGACCACTGTTGGGAGGGACAGACAGGTAGCAGGTGGTCATGGGACAGGTCAGTTGGGATTTGGAGGAGGAGAGCAGGGCAGAGATTGAAAAGGAAGGAAGCACATTGAAGGCACAGGTTTGGCATGATGAAGCCTTGTGTTGGGGGTGGCCTGGAGGTTGGGACAGGTGAGGCCAGGCGCCAAAACTTGAGGGGTGGTGCTATTTATCTGGTGAAGAACATGACAAGGTCACTGGTAGGTCTGTGGGGAAGAAGGCTGAGTCTGGGCTCCCTGGTCCAGGGAGCAGCTAGATGCGCAGGCCTGTGAATGAATGCCTGTCATGTGAGGCAGACCTGGAGTGTAGTCAGAATGAGTTTGGTCCTAGAGAGAGTGAAAGTTGAGAGGTTTCAGGATGTCTGGCTGAAGCTGTGGCAGAGGGTGAGTTGCTCCGGCAGAGAGGGTGAAATGAGAGGGTCAGCGAAGGGAAGGGTGGATGGGCACAGGTGGTGGTAGGGGCGAAAGGAGTGGAATCATGCTTAAGAAACCAGAGAAAAGCAGCCCCATGGGCTCAGGGAAGTTTGGACAGTGACCCAGAACAGTGGACTGGCCACAGAGTATAAGGATTAAAGTGGGCCCTGAGTGGACATAACAACCAGGTGACTTTGGCAAAGAGCAATGTTGGAGGAAATAGTGGGGAGAAGCCACATGGCAAGGTGGAGGTTGAAGTAGTAGAGGTCCCGAGTAGGGATAGGACTCTGCAGCAGCAAGTGAAGTAGATGGGCATAGCCATTAGCTATGCCAGGAGATATGCAGGTGAGGAAGGGTGCTTAAATTCTCATGTGGAATCAAAGTCATCAGCAAATCATTTTTTAAAATTTGGCTTTTATATATGATAGACTTTATATTTCTCTCGAACTTGTTTCTTCTTTCTTGGTAGGTATCTTGGAAACTGTCTGGGACAAACACACTGTTACTGCTGCCACCCCACCGCCATCCCCGACCTCAGGAGAAAGTGGTATGGTCTGCCGCCATCTATGGCATTCCTAGCTAAATGCAATTGGGGGGTGTCTGCAGGGCATAGCAGTGGCTCAGATACCTCCATATAGATGCTGAATCTTCCCTAATCTGTTCTGTCCTTTTTTTTGCTCATGTTTTCTGAATAGCTAGCTTTTTACTACTTTTTCTTAAATACTTAGATTTTCTAATAATATTTTGAATAGCACATTTTGCTGCTTCATTGCCCATCATGGAGATGTCATCTTTGATCTTGTGCCATCCACCTCCATCCCTGTCAGTTTATAATGACTGACCCTTCTAGTTTGTGGCCTCTTTGTTTTTCTCAGATTTCCTGCTGTGTTGCTTGTGCCAACATTTGTATGAGCTGGGGACTTGACAGATCTACTTTGCCACTCTGCAGGGTCACAGGAGGTGCCAGTGGCTTGAAGAACAGGATGTAGGGTTGGAGACACTGTTTTCCCCACTGTACTGGGTTCCCATGTTGTCCAGGGTACATTGGGGACCAGTGTGTAGTAATCAGCATTGAATTTACACCATTAATGTAAATAATTAAGAATGTTGGGCTGGTAGAGCGGCTCACGTGGTAGAGTGCCTGCCTAGCAAGCATGAGGCCCTGAGTTCAAACCCCAGTACCGAACAAAAAAGAATGTTAAGAATAATCTCATAAAGCATAGTTCTAGTAATAACCTGTTTCAGAACTCATCTAAGTAAACACCTATTTCTAGAGTCATTGACTCAAGACTGGATGGAAAGAGGAAATTGTGTCTGAGCAGGAACTTTTAGTTTCTAAATGCTTCTGTTTACGCTAGATGATCACAGATGCTTTCCAAGTAGAGTACATCCTGTGAATTGGCACATGTATCATCCTCCTGTAAAGGTTGATGTGACTAATGAGAACTGTTTCCACACTTCTCCAAGGAAATGGGCTGTTGAAATCAGCATCTCTAAGCCCAAGCCGGTTCATGTAGTCTGTTGTATTTGGAAGGTGAAATTCTTTCAGAGTTCTATAGAATTGGAAATATGCCATGAGTTTTGAGGACTGCTCATAGTACATGAATAATCTCAAATGCAGTTTATCATACTAGGATTAAAGACTGCTAGACACTTATTTACCATACTACTTAGATTAAAAACTATTCCAGAATTAGGGAGTATATTTAAAACACCCAGAAATTTGAACTTTATTTGTACCTGGTGGCAAACGCATCATTCCTAAGGTGAGTATTTGAGGTGTCACCGATTTATATTTTGCAGTATTTGAATGGTTAAAAAAATTGGCAAATGATGTAGACATTTGATTTTGTGATTGGATAGTCATATGCAGTATCCCACAGTTTGCCTAGTCTTTAAATTTGTGTTTCACTTAAGAATGGTTTGCCAAGATGGGCTCTTTTGTGTTAGGTTTGTCTCTGCATGGTGGAGTACCAGCTTAGTGGGCAGTGAGCTTTGCAGCAGTTCGCTGTGGTCAGACACACTTGTTTTTCTGAGATCATTTTCCAGTGCCAATAGCCAAGTGTTGTAGTTGACTTTCTCAGGTTTCTTCCGATCTAACTGCATTTGTACTTCGGTAGATTTTGTTTTCCTTGGGGCCAGGCTAGGGAATATTAGATCATACTTAATCAAAAATGTGTGTTTACTGCTTTTATGTGTTGCCTAAGTTTTCATGAGGTTAGGTGATAACCTGACATTCCTGTTTAACAGAACCTAAGCATGTGTTTCTTCATGAGTGGTACTTTTTAGACACGCACATGTTCTGAAGTCTTGAATTTTAGTAGTTGAGAAAAACCTAAAAAAATTGAGGCTTTGGGAGGGTAGGGCACCTAAGAAGTAAGTAAACGCTTAAGTTGGTGTACTTCCCCTTTAAAAAGAACTGCGTGTTCATTTGTTATGTTTTTTTTTTTCTTTATGATACTTGTGAGTGAAGTCAGCGGATGTTGCTCCATTATTTGGGCAGTGCAGATGATCCAATCAGCATTTATTTTGCTGCTTTTGCTCACTCATCTTTGTGCACTTACAACACAATTAAGTTAAACTTTCAAGAGATTTTCTTGACCCCATAAGCTCAGTTTTGTAGAGGAAAATTATTCTGAGAAAGCTTAGGGCTCAGTGAATAAGCCAAACTAATTCCTGAGCGTACCCCACAATAGTTCCTGGTCAGTGCCCCCCACCCCTCTTGAATTCCTGGGTAACTCGCTCTGATCAGCGTTTGGAGAGTTTCCTTACATGCCTTGTCTCTGCCTATACATTTGTTTGTGGTATAGTTTTCTATCTGCTCATATTCAAACAAAGTCTGCAACTCTGCAAACTGGTCCTTGCAACAACCTGAACACACAGTCTGGATGTAGAAAAGGTTTGAGGGGGGGGTGTGTGTGGGTTGTTTCTCAGAATAGTTACCCAACTTGTCTAATCTCCTAACCCTGCTGCATGGTGGTCACAGCTTCAGTAGACTGTAGGCCTGCTGCAGAGCACCTGATGATTTCCTCTCTCCTTTACAGGCAAGAAAACGGGAACTCTGGAGGGCAGCTTGCCAGAGGTCCCACGGTCAGTGGGGAAGTAGAAATCCACCACCCCAAGTCTGGGCACACAGTCTGGCAGAGTCCCTGGTCCCAGCTGCCCCTCCCTGTTGTTGTAGCCTTTGTCTCAGTCTCCTCTCATCTGTACTTCTTGCTTGGTCTTATGGGAAAAAAAAGTACAAAATGAAATTAGGTAGATGCTGAAGTTGGCTTTGATTGTTCTGTAGTGAAAACTTAGGGGCTGTGTCTTTCTGATCCACATGGTGTGTGGTCACATCCAGAGCCATACATATACTGAAGGGGAAAAGAGGGAAAGAATTGAGACAATATGCACTGTGCTACTTCCCAAACTCTTTTCCAGTTGCGTACCTGTGATACCTTTTCATATATCTCACAGCTACATGTAGAAAGATGAGGTTTGGGAGTGCCAGTCACAGTACAATGCCTGTGTTCATATCTCCTCCCTGAAGGCCTGCTTGGGTACTTTCCCCTCATTTCACTGAATTGAGGTTTCAGTTAGACAACGGTTCTCAACTGGGGTGTTTTGCTGTGCAAGAGCTGTTTGGCATTGGTAAGTGGATGCCAGGGATGCTGCTGATCAGACTCAGTGCAGAGGACGCTGAGGGTTCATCCAGTCCCACATTTTTCTATAGTGCTGAGGTTGAGAAACCCTGAGGGAGTAAATGCAGACTGAATAGAAAACATAGGAAATCTCAGAAAGTTAAAAAACAAAAAGCCAAAGGGGATCTTTGCATGAAAGCCTGTCACAAGTGTGACAGCCACTGCGGTTTCTTCCAAGTCAGTGAATGCACCAGACTTGTCCATATACTACTTTTTTTGAGTCAGAGTCTATGGCTATGTACTCCAGGTTGACCTCTTAACTTGATCCTCCTGCTTCAGCCTCTCCAGTGTGGGATTATAGTTGTGGCCACCACACCTAGCCCCCACATACCTCTTTGGGATGGGTGGGTGTGCACTGCTGCGAGGGCATGGCCTTTACAGTCACAGTTTTATGATCAGGGTGCCTTCTCACATAGTGTTGGAAATGCTGCACCATGAAGCATTATCCCTGTTTCTCGGTAATTTTAACCACATTGATTACAATATAATTTTTTAAAAACCCTCATAATCTACTAAAATACCTTGAAGCAGTTACGTTGTATAAAATCCGTGTTCTCTCCCCCAGCCCTTTTTAAGGTGTGGGGTGGGGCAACTCCTAGGCCCAAGCAATCCTCCTACTTCATCCTTCTGGACTATGGGTGCAGCACTGTGCCCAGTGTGTAAATAATCTCTACTGAAAAACAATGTTAAAAGGTTTTGTTTTTGAGAGAATGAAAAGATAATGGCTCATTCTTCCCACCTAAACATGATCCTTTGTGTAATTCTGTTGTCTTTGTCCTGCGTATGTTTCGGTTATGGAGTGCGCATGTTGTTTTTACATTAATTCCTGCCTTAGAGATGTTAAAATGAGCAGTTGCATTTAATGAGAACGTAAGAATGTGCACATGAAGCTTTCAGTACTTTCAGTTCAAGGCCAAGCAAATAAAAACATAAGTGGTAGGTGGCTTTTTTTTTTTTTTTTTTGTGGGGGACAACAGTACAGGAGATTGAACTCAGGGTATACTCTCCCATTTGAGCATACCCCAGTCCTAAACTAAAAGCTCACTTTTCAGATCTGGTCTCTTGGTTTTTGCTTGGTCCCACCTGGAACCACTACCCTGTCTCTGCCTCCAAAGTAGCTGAGATTACAGGTGGTTTTTTTTTAAAGGTACTGGAGTTTGAACTCTTGAGACATTCCACTAGCCCTATTTCATTTCTTGAGACAGGGTCTCTGTGTAGCCCAGACTGGACTCAAACTCCAGATCCTCCTACCTCAACCTCTCAAGTGCTAGGATTATGGCTGTGCACAACCACTGCCTGACTTTAAGTCTACTTTTAATAAGGAAATCATACCCTGTTAATAAAATAAAATCCTCCGTTTAGGCCAAGGAGACTGAGACTGAGAAAAATTAATGGACTTGTTTATATTTACCCAACATTAGTATAAAGTAGCAGTTCTCAATAGGTTTGGGGCCCTGGGAAGTCCCCTTACACTCCTCTGGAGTCCCAAAGGTTAGATGTGTATTCATAAAAATTCTAAGATATTGTTACTTTTAGTCCCATTTTCTCACCAGTGAACAGAATAAAATAGCTCATTCAGATTCACATTGCAGTTAACATTGTGAGAAATTTTAACATATTAGTTAATAACTGGTTATTCGAAAAGATATCTAAAAATCTTTCTTTTTCAATTTCCACATGAAACTGAATTTTTTTCATGCATCTTTAATTCACATGGCAACAGATCGAATCTAGGAAGCAGATGAGAGAATCCAACTATCTTCTTTGAAACCAGATGTTAAAGAGATTTCCAAAACAGTGCTAGTCTAATTTTGTGGAGTAAAACAGGGATTTTTTTCATTAAAAGGAATGCTATTTAGCTAACATGTTTGTTTTTAGGTGGGGTAAGTATTTGAGCATTTCATGCATTTAATTTCTAATGGCAGATATCAGTGGAAATAACCTGCAGAAGCAAAAGCTCTTTGGGATCCTCAGAGTAAAGAAGTTCTGGGGCTCACACATTTCACACCTGCTACTGTAAAGTACAGAGCAAAATGTAAACTATTTCCCCATCGTCCACTACATAGAAATAGCATGAAGTAATGTTTGCTGATTATTGTACACATTTCTCTATTCACAGATGCAGATAAGAAGACAGTGGCATCATAACGTAAACTTTTATATTTAAGAAAAACATTAAATTTTAGTTTTACTTGAATTTAGCAGAAGATATTAAATTGAAGGGATTGTTGACCTTGAGGTGCTTTTTCTACAAGAGATAGTAATTTTTTTCTTTTCCTTCTTTTGGTACTGGGGTTTAAACTCAGGGCCTCGCGCTTACAAAGCAGGCACTCTAGCACTCGAACTATTCCCCAACTCTTTTTTTTGCTCCGGTTATTTTGGAGATAGGTTCTTGCTTTTTGCCTAGGCCACCCTGGAACTGTGATCCTCCTATTTTGCATTCCTGCTGTCTCTGGAATAACAGATGTACCCAGCTATTCATTGAGATGGGGGTATCACTAATTTTTTTTTGCTTGGGCAAAATTTTTTTGAATGTGATTCTCCTGGTCTCAGCCTCCCAAGTAGCTAGGATTACAGGTGTGAGCCACCAGTGCCTAGCTGGTACTGGGATTTGAACTCAGGGCCTCCCCCTTACTAGGCAGGTACTCTATCATTTGAGTCACTCCGCCAGCCCTTACCTTTGTTTAGTCTTGATGCTGTATTTAATTCAGTGCTGGCATTAATCCTTTTTGCATGGCTTCTTCATTCCTTAATGTTCATTTTGGTTAATCTGTTTATTTGCAGTATTTTTCTTTAGTTGTTTGTTTAAGAGAGGGTCTTGAGTTGCCCATGCTGGTCTCAGACTCCACGGCTCAAGTGATCCTCCTGCCTCAGCCTCTCAAGTAGCTGGGACTGCAAGTTCTCACTACTGTGCCTGGCTTATTTGCATGGTTTTATTGTCCAGTATTCTTTTTTGAGAAGAAATGGGGAGTAGTATATTACCTGAGTTTTTGTAAGATTGAGAAAACGTCACCTTTATACTCAAAGGAGAACTTTGGATTAAGTTATTTTCATAGGCAGACACAGCACCCCTTTCTGGCTTTGAATGCAGCTCTAGAGGATTTGGAACTAGGTGTTTTTTCTATTGAATGTGGGCCTTTTCTGCCTGTCTTCTTTATTCATTGTAAGAATTCTTAGTAGTGATCACTTTGTCATTTTTTTCCTTGGGGCAGGATGTACCCTTTGATTTTGTTGAATCATCTTTATGTCAGAAAAGTTTTCTTTCCCTAAAATAATTTTGTTGCTGTTTTATTCTCTGTGAGTTCCTTTAACTCAGTGCTTTAAAAAATTATGCAAGTGCATAACTAACATACAATATAAGTCTAATCAGAATCGTCACTACGTATCTCCCCTGCATAATGAATATATCTTAATATAAAATTTACTTAAAAAATTACGCAAGTATAGTCGAGTGCTTGCTTAATATCTGTGAGGTCTGGGTTCAATTCCTAGCACTGGAAAAAGAAAAAAGTTTATTTGTGGACCTTCTGCAAGGCCTTGGGAGCCCTCTGGGGTCTCTAGACCAAACTGAGAACTGAGGTTTGTAGTAATACTTGGATTAAAGATTAATCCACAGTGCAAGCATGGCCTTAATCATACTGCCCAGCTCGTAGCTTGAGCCCTCTCACTGTTTCTTGTTCATTCCCTTCCATACTCTTTTTCCTCCTGTCCCCTCTTACCCACAGTGAATAGCCATTTTAATGTATATTATGTGTGCCCTTTTTTTGGTTACATGTTCTTGTGAAAAACTTACTGATGTTCCTGTATTTCAGTATATAAATGGTGTGATAATCCATAGTTCTGTTTCTGCCTTTTTCTTTAGTAGTCTTTTGAGGTCTTGCTAAGCATTGCCTGTGCCTTTAGACCACTGCCTCTGGTCACTCTGCCCAAGCATCTTACCTGTCCTTTCTCCCCGGCGAGGAGCCCAGATTGCCTCCAACTGTCCCCACTCAGGGCCCTCTGCCTGCCCCCTTCTAGGCCTGTGTGAGGCTGCTTTGGACACATCAGGAGGGGAGGGTCCGATATCAGGATACATGCATAAATAGGGTTCCAGAGTGCTGGCTGTTCTCTTGCCAGTGTGGGGGAACATTTCTGCCCACTTGGCATTCTCCCACATTCAGATCTTCTCAGTCTCTTTAATTTGCATTTTCTAATGACAGATGAATCTGGTATCTCTTCATATACTGACTGCCCTTTTGCATTTCTCTTATCTATTGCCTGTCTTCATCTTGGGGTGGTGTTTGTTGATATACAGCATTTTTCTTTTATATTTTTAAATTATCCTTCTTGGTGTTAGAAATTGTCACCATCTTCTTGCAGTCTACCATCTGCTTGGTCACATTCCTTTAATGTGTTCATTGTTAGAAACTATGAACTAGTAGGTGATGTATTGAATTGGTTAGGTTTTGTTTGTTCATTGTGGGGCTGGGGTTGACTCAGGCCTTGCACTTCCTAGGCAGGCGCTCTACCACTGGAGCCACGCCCCCAGCCCTCGTAAGGCCTTTTTGTTCAGGTTTGCATTGTGGTTGTTTTAATAAGTCTTTCCTCTCTTGTAGTGGCTCAGATTCTCCTATATTTTGTTTTATCAACTTTTGTCTTTGATTTAAGTCTTTAGCTCATTTCTGTCTAACTTCATACATGGGGCTAAGGGGGTTTATTTATTTTATGTGAGCATGTATTGTTTTTCTGTAAGAAAGGCTATGATTTTAGAGAGCAGAAGAAGGAGAAGGAAAACTTGGGTCAGCATGGTGTTTTGTTGCTAGAGAAGAGTCCCCTTAGTATTTCCTCTACTTTTGGGAAACTGCCTGCAAATCTCACTGAAACCAGATTTAGGTCAAAACTTTAAAGATTATGCCAGATTTTTTTTCCCTCATGAATCAGGATCAGTATCTTATTTTGCTATACTGTTAGTTTGTTATGATTTGTGTGTGCGTGCACACGTGTGTGTGTGTGTGTGTGTGTGTGTGTCTGCACACACTGGGGATTGAACCTAGGGCTTTGTGCATGCTAAGTTGTTAAGCCTGTGTTCTATCAATGACCCACACCTCAGCCTCTGTAATTGGTGTTCAACATTGAGCATATTGATTTTATTTTTTTTATTTCAAAGGTAATTAAATTGGATTTTTTGGGAGGGGGGAGAATAATTACTTACAGTGGTCTATAAGAGATTTGACTTTGGGTCTTATAAAAGGTTTTTTAAAATTTCCAGGCGACTTACTGAGTAACCTGTTGCAGAGCCCTAGCTCAGCCAAACTGTTGAATCAACCCATCCCCATCCTTGATGCAGAGAGTGAGTATATCTGTTCCCTGGCCTTGGAGTGCCTGGCCCATCTCTTCAGTTGGATTCCTCTGTCTGCCAGCATCACCCCGTCCCTCCTCACCACCATCTTCCACTTTGCACGCTTTGGCTGTGATATCCGGGCCAGGAAGATGGCATCAGTAAATGGTAGCAGCCAGAACTGTGTCTTGGGTCAGGAGCGTGGCCGACTTGGGGTGCTGGCCATGTCCTGCATCAATGAACTTATGTCCAAGAACTGTGTGCCTATGGAATTTGAGGAGTATTTACTGCGCATGTTCCAGCAGACCTTCTACCTCCTGCAGAAAATCACCAGGGATAACAATGCCCACACGGTGAAGAGCAGGCTAGAGGAGCTCGATGAGAGGTAATGCAAACTGGCTAGAGCTGGCTGTGCCCTGAGAAAGGGCTGACTACTTATGCGTGCTGCATGCTGTCGGTAAAGCCTTTGGTTTCAGAATATGGGGTTCCTGGTGAGGAACGGAAAGGTAAGTAGGTGTATATAGCAAGTCCAGGCTGAGCTGGAAGGGCTAGGGTGGTTAAGGGAAGTGAGTTGATTGTAGACAATGATGGTGGATTGTGTAGGCCTGTTGTGTGTTTTCCCCATCCATCTGCCTCCTGTCCTCCCGTCCACGCCTCTGCCCCTCTTCCTCACTATCTGCCTGCAGGTCTCAGGTGTGCAGGAACTGAGAGCGCCGGCTCCTGCCTACATAGGCGAGAACAGAAGAGGCCCACGGAGGTACAAGGGTTCTGTCACCCTTTTTCACTTGGTGCTGCTTGTTGGCTTTCACTGTTGGACTCTTTCCCAGTGGACATCTTGTGGTATATAGGAGTAGCGTTAGTATTTTGAGTTTTATACAAATGACAGCTGTTCATCAAAAGATAGGAAAGATGCTCATGAGGGTGCAGGTCAGTGTGGCACACCTGTTTTGTTTTGCTGCTGTCCTCTTGAACAGAATCTACAGTTCCCAAGATGATTTTTATTAAAGTTCCTTATAAGATGACTTTGGCATAGTTGTCTGAGGCAAGGTTGTTAATTTCATTTGCAGATGATGTCATTTTTGTGTCTTACAACTTTCATTAACAAGATGCTACTGCTGAATAGAGATGAGATTGAGGGATGTTGGAGTGACTTAAGACTAGCAAGCGTGAGGCCCTGAGTTCAAAATCCCTGAAACTTCCAAAAAAAAAGAGGGTGATTGGAAGTTGCATTTTCAACTACCATGTGGGCTGTTGACAAACACCCAGAGCAGATACAATGTCTTGAATTAGTAAATATTTACAAATGGCCTGGCAGCAAAAATTGTTAATATTTCAATTTTCCTTTCATTGTCTGTTGTTATTAGAATAAGTAGCAAATTATAAAGTCAACTGCCTAAAATTAAGAAAGTTTTAGTGTTTTTTTTTAAACTTTTTTTTCAGTGCCTTTTAAATTGGGCATTTAAAGTTTTTCTAAGGTTAAAAAATTGACATAAGATTATTTTGATTTGATTCATTATAAACAAACTTCGTGTGACATTTGCTTGTATAATCACAAAATAGTTCTTAATCTGATGCGATCATTTTCTTCAGTACTTAGTAATAACTTTCTATATGAATTCAAATGCTTCAGTATTTATACAGTTTCATGTTCTTTCTAACTTTGATTAAGAAAGGTCTTGTCTTCATATATTAATGAAAAATACATAGCTTTTTAACATGGAATATCAGATGTTTTGATTTTTCCTTGAAGTGCAGTATGAGCTCACACTTGGGTTGTGTTTAGGGGTTACAGACTACCTGATGGATTATCATGGATTGATATAGGTTTTATTCTGATTTTATTCTGTGTCACTTTTGTACTCTTGATTTTGTATTTTAATTCTATGCTTCCTATTGCCCTGTGCAAGATGAGAGGTTCCTGGAAGCAGTAAAGTGACATAAGCAATCCTGTGTGCTTGCCTCTTGGCATTTGGGTCCCTCACACTAATTCTAAAGGACTCTGTCCACTCTCAAGTTGTTCAGGAGCTGCTTAACCAGGGCCTTGACTTCTCTCCTCTATTGCCTTTTTCTTAACTTTTTACTGTTCATTAGCGCTTGTACCAGAATGTGGGCGCGGCAATGAAAATGAAGAGGAATCAAATTTGTACTTTCAGCTACTGAACAGACTTGTTTTGTGTGTGTGTGTGTGTGTGTGTGTGTGTGTGTGTTTTCTTGCAGTGCTGGGGAATCCAACCCATGGCCTTGTGCATACTGTACAAGTGCACTCCACCACTGAGCTACATCCGACCCTGTAGTTGTTTTGAATTGGGTTGGAGGTTAAACTAAAACTGAGATTGCTGGGTATTTTACCCCTGACTTCTCTTTGTTTCATGAGAAGGGGAGCAGTAAGCTCGGTAAGGGCTTTGCACGTCCATATAGAGGTACAGTGTAACCAGCATGCTGAACGGGGAGTAGGCCGTTGCTGCTCTCCCCAGTGTTAGTGACTAGGGGCAGCACAAGGAATCCCTTATATTTTCCTGTCTCTCACAATTGATTGTAATGCCTTACTGTTTTTCTAGTGTTTGACTCTATGATCCACAGACACAGCCATTCTCCTTCTTGGACAAATTAATCTTTTATTTTTTTAAAGCTGTAAATAAGCCTACATGTGTGAACCAGCTGTAGAATCAGACAGTCAGGTTGACCACTCTCAGAGGCCCATCCCAGGAGCAGCATGGGGCATTTTATTTCTGGGCCACTTTTGTTCTTCTAAAGAGTGGTTGTCTTCTCTCCCTTTTTGTTTCACATGTTTCTGCTTTAAAACCTAACTTTTTGTAGTTAGGAATTTCAGACTTGCTCTTAGACATTATTTCTCAGCTAAGGCTTAGTATGTATGTCTTCACGTTTTTTGTTGGTTTCTGAATTATGATTTTTGAAGGTGTGATCATTTCATTTTCTGATCTTTTGGGCTTAAAATGACATGGGAGTGGTAATGTACTGTGTCTTTAGTAAAGAGCTCTTGGGGCCCCTGGACTGGGAGTGAATGGCAGTATCCTCTGCCACAAGCTGGCTAAGACACAGTGGGCCCAATACATGACCTCATTGGGTCTCACCTGCAAAATGTGAACATGCAGCTAAATTGTCCCTGAGGCCTGTCTGACTCTCTTAACACCTTCCTCCCTTGGAGCTGAACATGCCTTCTAGCATGGGGTAGATGCACTGTATTTCATTGGCACCCAGAGCCAGAGGGGGAGAAATGAACACTAGGTTACAAGCCTGAGTATGGCTCCTTGTATCATCTTGGTCTTGTCTGTAGTACAGTTCATTTTGATATTGGCCTCTCAGCAAAGGAAACCAGCTTTCTAGATTTGAAATGACATCATAATCTGCTCGTCAACTTCTTAGCACCATTTCATTTCACTTAACTCATAATACTAATGATTAGATAGGAAATACACAAGCGAGTGAGTGCTAGCTTATGACAAGTGTTGGCAGGTGGTATCTGAGGATTAAAGCTGCTTTTCTGCTATGTTTCAGGTGGTAATGGAATGAAGGGTTGCCTGTCTCGTAGGTAATTGCTGCAGGCCTTTATATTTTTATCTGAAAACATAAATTTGTTTATTTGTGTACTAAAAGAAACTTGGATTGAATTTAAGTTCTCTTCTAAAGTGGTGGCTTGTGTTTCTTATGTCACCTTTTGTCTTCTTGTCTCATTTAGCTACATTGAGAAGTTTACTGACTTTCTGCGGCTCTTTGTGAGTGTTCACCTAAGGAGAATCGAGTCCTACTCCCAGTTTCCTGTGGTGGAGTTTCTGACACTTCTGTTCAAATACACGTTTCATCAGGTAAAGCCCCACAGTGCCCTGCCTTCCAGACAAGAGGGTTCTTGTTATTTCCAGGAGAAGGAACTCTTATTTCCCACACAGTCACATGGTACATGCTGTAGGAAGAATAGTACATTTAATCTTCATAACAACGCTCTGAGGTATGTCTTAGGATCATCTCCATTTTACAGATGGAGAGACAATGACTAATTTGCACAGAACCATAAATTTAGTAAGTTTGAGCTAGGATTTGAACCCATGGAGCCTGTGCTCTTCACCACTGTGATGTGAGAGAAGCAAGGGAGAGGGAAAGTCTGGAATTAGGGCCTTTTCTTCTTTTAGTGGCTGTCACAACAGTTTCCCGAAGAAGATTATATGTAGTGAAGTTTCCAATAGTTATGTTTTGGTGATCATCCGTCTTTTTTCCTGTTCAATAAATATTTCTTGAGCTCCCATTGCATTTTAGGATCTAGGCATATAGCTTTCACATCAAAGCCCTTGTCTTCACTGAGCTTTTATCTTAGTGACCTGCTATGTTACACATGCATATACATTTATATTTTATAAAAAGTTTTGTTGAAGAAATATTTATTTATTCATTTTCTATTTTTGGTGGCACTGCAGTTTGAACTGAGGGCCTTGTGCTTGCTAGGCCAAGTGCTCTACCACTTTAGCCATATTCCCAGCCTTTTTTTTTTTTTTTTTTTTGCTTTAGTTAGTTAGTTTTTTTGGATCTCACTTTTTGCCCAGGGGTAGCCTTGGACCATGATCCTCTTGCATATGCCTCCTGCATAGCTGGGAGTACAGTAGTGTACCACCATACCTGGCTTATTAGTTCAGAATGGGGGTCTTGCTATCTTTTATCCAGGCTGATCTTGAACTACAGTGTTCTTAGTGTTTTCCTCTAGAGTAACTGGGATTATAGATATGCCCACCATAGCCAACCTTATTTTTGATTTTTTTTTTTTTTTTGAGATAGAGTCTCACTATGTAGCCCAGACTGGCCTTTTTTTTTTTTGATTTGTTTTTGTTTCAACACTGAGGCACAGAGCAATGGCGTTCAATTTTTTTTTTTTTTTTTTTTATTCATATGTGCATACAAGGCTTGGTTCATTTCTCCCCCCTGCCCCCACCCCCTCCCTTACCACCCACTCCACCCCCTCCTGCTCCCCCCCTCAATACCCAGCAGAAACTATTTTGCCCTTATCTCTAATTTTGTTGTAGAGAGAGTATAAGCAATAATAGGAAGGAACAAGGGGTTTTGCTGGTTGAGATAAGGATAGCTATACAGGGCATTGACTCACATTGATTTCCTGTGTGGGTGTTACCTTCTAGGTTAATTCTTTTTGATCTAACCTTTTCTCTAGTTCCTGGTCCCCTTTTCCTATTGGCCTCAGTTGCTTTAAGGTATCTGCTTTAGTTTCTCTGCGTTAAGGGCAACAAATGCTAGCTAGTTTTTTAGGTGTCTTACCTATCCTCACCCCTCCCTTGTGTGCTCTCGCTTTTATCATGTGCTCATAGTCCAATCCCCTTGTTGTGTTTGCCCTTGATCTAATGTCCACATATGAGGGAGAACATACGATTTTTGGTCTTTTGAGCCAGGCTAACCTCACTCAGAATGATGTTCTCCAATTCCATCCATTTACCAGCGAATGATAACATTTCGTTCTTCTTCATGGCTGCATAAAATTCCATTGTGTATAGATACCACATTTTCTTAATCCATTCGTCAGTGCTGGGGCATCTTGGCTGTTTCCATAACTTGGCTATTGTGAATAGTGCCGCAATAAACATGGATGTGCAGGTGCCTCTGGAGTAACAGTCTTTTGGGTATATCCCCAAGAGTGGTATTGCTGGATCAAATGGTAGATCGATGTCCATCTTTTTAAGTAGCCTCCAAATTTTTTTCCAGAGTGGTTGTACTAGTCTACATTCCCACCAACAGTGTAAAAGGGTTCCTTTTTCCCCACATCCTCGCCAACACCTGTTGTTGGTGGTGTTGCTGATGATGGCTATTCTAACAGGGGTGAGGTGGAATCTTAGTGTGGTTTTAATTTGCATTTCCTTTATTGCTAGAGATGGTGAGCATTTTTTCATGTGTTTTCTGGCCATTTGAATTTCTTCTTTTGAGAAAGTTCTGTTTAGTTCACATGCCCATTTCTTTATTGGTTCATTAGTTTTGGGAGAATTTAGTTTTTTAAGTTCCCTGTATATTCTGGTTATCAGTCCTTTGTCTGATGTATAATTGGCAAATATTTTCTCCCACTCTGTGGGTGTTCTCTTCAGTTTAGAGACCATTTCTTTTGATGAACAGAAGCTTTTTAGTTTTATGAGGTCCCATTTATCTATGCTATCTCTTAGTTGCTGTGCTGCTGGGGTTTCATTGAGAAAGTTTTTACCTATACCTACTAACTCCAGAGTATTTCCTACTCTTTCTTGTATCAACTTAAGAGTTTGGGGTCTGATATTAAGATCCTTGATCCATTTTGAGTTAATCTTGGTATAGGGTGATATACATGGATCTAGTTTCAGTTTTTTGCAGACTGCTAACCAGACTGGCCTTAAACTGTAGATTCTCCTGCCTCAGTCTCCTGAGTGCTGGGATTATAGGCATGCATCACTATACCTGGCTTGTGTGTGTTTTTAAGGAAGCTTTTTATGAAAGTATGTCACATACAAAAAAGTGCCTACAGCATATGTATACTGCATGATGAATTTTCCCCATGTGAGCACACCCATGGAACTACCTCCAAAGTCAAGAAATAGAACATTACTATACCCCAGAAACCCCTCGCTCCCTTTCCCAAATCACTTCCCTCCTTTTTCCCTAGAAGTAACCCTAGTCCTGACCTTCATGGGCTACTTTTGCCTGTCAGAACATACACTCTGAATGGAAGTGTATTGTGTGTATTTTTTTGGTCTGGCATTTTTGTTTGACGTTGTTTGTAAAAACTGTGTTTGTGGCAGTTGATTGCTCATGGTGTTGTGTTATAGTGAGTTGTTTGTTATGTCCTGGTGAGCTGTTGTGTGACAGCCCATCCCACTGTTGAACTGTCCACTGGCAGTTCTGAGTGGCTGAACTGTGCTACAGTGACTGTTATTGGACATGCTTTCTCAAGTACTCAGATAGGTCTTTCTTTTGGCATCCATCAAGGATATATAAGCCACTGCTGGGTCCATAAGGGCTATTGATTTTAACAGTAGACTCTTTTTTCTGAACCTCTAACGTTGCAGCTCAGTGGGGCAGAAGATGCAAAGGTCTAGGCTGGGAGGGTTGTGTGTGTATGATTGGAGATTTGGAGCAAGGGTTTGGTGTGAAAGCTAGCCTTTCTCAAAGAGGGGCTGGGTACATAATTACAGTACCCAGTGCATTGTGAGGTGAACCATTCCTGGGAGTAGGGGTGGGGCCCAGGAGGTAGAGGAGGAGGGCAGACCCATGCTTAAAGAAGTGTCAAGATGTCTGGTAGAGGGGCCAGTGCTGAGCATTAAGGAAAACAGGCTGAGCTCCCCAGGCCTAGGGGTCGGGGTGGGGGGCAGGGATGGAAGAGGTAAGGAAGAGACTGGGAGAGGAGATGTAGGAGAGGAGCAGAGAGATGGCAGCGCTTTGAGACAGATTCAGAGACATCTTGGGCTGGGGGTGTAGCTCAGTAATAGATCTCTTGCCCTGCTTACACAAGTCCCTGGGCTCTCCATCCCTAGCCCTGCAAGAAAACAAACAAACAAAGCACAGTAAAACTTCTCAAGAGACCTTAAAGGAGAACAGGAAACAAGCATTTGAGAGAAGGCTGAGTGCATGTAACATAAATAACTCGAGACAAGTGAGACAGAAAGAAAAGACCAAGAGCCTGATCTACAGTCAGAGAAGGCTTATATGGGGAAGGGGTGAGGATGTCCTGAGATGCACTCTCCATGTAAATTGAGACTTTTTGGTATATAAGGTATAGAAGAAAGCTAAAACCCTATTTTAGGGCTGGAGGTGTGGCTGCATGGTAGAGCCCTTGCCTTTCCTTATATGCGTGAGGCCCTGGGTTCAATCCCTAGTACTGAAAAAAATGAATAAAATATACATGTCTTAAACCTTCTTCATACTTGTACCCAAAAGCTTTGTGTTTGAGCTCTGGTTATTTCTGTTTTGTCTGTGTCCTTGTGCAAGTCATTTTAATTTCCATAGATTTCCGTTTCCTCACCTAAGATGGTGGGCTGCAGGAGAGAGGTCAAAGATCTTCACTGGTGTTTTATCTTCATGATTCTTTCACTGACCTTCTTTATGTTAGTTTTCCACTGAATGGGAAGTAGTGATTTCACATTTATTTATTATTATTACATTTATATATTGGGAAAAGAAATAGACATGTGATTAAGAGCACACAGTAAGCTTCTTTTGCCCTCTCTACCTGGAGATCATTGTCAGCTTAGTTCCCTCCTGCTCTCTGCACCTCTTAGGTAAGAACCTTTCTTTCTGGGTGCAAGCTGGTCATCTGAGGGATAGAAGTTCTTCATGTCTAGACAGAATGCGATTCTGAGCATCAAGCAGAGGGAGAAGGATCAGGAGCCTGTTCTGTCCCAATTTATTGTAGGAGAGACAGAGCAAAGGGAGGGGTGGCATTGTGTACCCTGGGTCTATGGTCTGATCATTGAGGAGTTCTTGAAGTGAGATTTAAGAATACAGGATTAAGTGGTCTGAAGAGCTTCAGATTCTCATCTCTTCCCTAACAGCATGATATTACTTTATCATAATCTTATTATCTGCAAAGTGGGAAAATATGTCCTTATCTAGAGGGTTATGATGAGTGTATTCAGTATTTTTGTCTTACTGCTAGAAAACATATTTTGAAAGAAGAGTACTAAAATAGAGAGGATGGTGCTGGTGTCTTTGTTAAACCATTTCTTATGTTCTCTTCCTTTTTCTGCATTCTTCTTTAACTTCAGTATTCTGCTTCAATCCATAGCCACTTCTCCCCAGGCACTGCCTCCACTGTGACTCTTATGACTGTTGTTAGCCATTGAGCCTCTTGGGCGTCTGTATGAGCCTGAGACTTTTTTGCCTTTCTGCCCCCAGTCTTAATAGATCCTCACCATTTCCTTTGCAGCCGTAATGGTTCATTTTGCCCTTTCCTCCTAAAGCAGTGCTTGAGGTGGCAGGGCCGGGAGCACTCTGAACCCAGCTCATGGCACACTCCTGATTCTGCTCTTCAGCTGTTTTGTCATCTTGGGCAAGCCTTGAGCTACTGTGAAGAGCAAATAGGAGACCATTGCAGATTAATACGAAATGCCATGAGCTGCTTGGAAGGTATGAGAGGTAGTATTTGTTTCTTAAAGATAGCTGTCAGAATTTTTAAGGATTAGGAATCCCAGAATCCGAAAAGTAAATCTGAGGATAGATACATTAAAGACACTGGGTCTCTGAGGGCTTTTCATGTTTGGATGACTTGGAAAGTGAAGTTAGCCTATGCTCTTTGTGACTTACGGCCAAGGCCAGATCACAGGCAGCATGTGGGCCTCACAAAGGGGCCTGCGGGTCTCCATGTGAGTGGTGGTATGTCAGGTCATGCAATAGTATATATGCCTCCTTTTATTTTAGCAATAGACATTTATCCTCATATATGAGGCATATATGAGGACGTATAACTGTAAAGTGTTTGGTGTAGCCAAAACAGTTGGACTTCAGTGGTAGCTTTTCTCCAAAACACTTCCACCAGCATCTGATCTTCTTTTGAGGAGTTGGTGGGTAACTCAGGGAAACTCAGCGAGTTGAAGCCATGACAAGACTGCATCTGCTGAGTGGGCAAGTACAGTGGCCTGTCTACCCATGTCATTGTCATGTGGCTCATTCATTGGTTTTCCTGGCTCATTGTGTGTCATGGGCATTCTGGGCTTGCCAGATATGAAGCAGAGAGAGGACATAGCCACCTAACTTTTCTCGGGTTGCACTTGCCACGTTCTGACTGAGCTGGAGAAGTCTAGCTCTAGGCTTGTTCTTTGGGTTTAGGATGGATTTTAATTGGCATTTATTTATTTGCTTATTTGCTTGCTTGCTTGCCTATCTTATCTCATCTTATCTTATCTTATCTTATCTTTACCTTACCTTATCTTATCATTTAGTGCAAGGGGTGGAACCCAGGACCTGGCATATGGTAGGCAAGCTCTCCACCACTGAACTACATCCCTAATGGGTTATTTATTCATTTATATTTATTTATTTAACATTTTTTTTTAGTATGTGATAATTATACAGGGGATTTTGTTGTGACATTTCCATATATGCATATATTATATCCTAGTTTGTTTCATCTCCTCCATTACTCTCCCTTCTACCCCATTCCCCTTCTTACAGTAACTTCAACAGGTTTCAATGTCCCATATTCATACATACATAGAAACTGTACCAATCATATTCACTCTTCTTTATCCTCTTCATTTACCCTCCCTCTCCTACTAGTACCCTCCCCTTAGCATGGCCTGTTTTATATTCCTGTCCTTCATTGTGTCTTTCGTTGTTCAGTGGGGATTTTGCCTTGGTATTTTACCTGTAGATATATTGTGCTTAAATCAGTCCAGCACCCTCCACTCTTCTTCATCCCCCTTTTTCCCCACTACCCTGTATTCCTAATGGGTTTTTTAATTACAGTTTTTCTATTTGAGAGCTAAACTTGGGTGTAGAACTCTGATGGCATGCTACCTACCACCTATTGTTAGTTATTTCTTGGACATATTCCTCATACATCCTTGCAAACATCTGTATTTCCTTATGGATCAGAAAAAGAAAGAAATGATCCAAGAAAGTGGTGGTATTATTTCTTCCCATATCTGATCTTGCCCCCACATATAGGGTTCAGTGAAGCAGTCATTAGCAAAACCAAGGGACTACTGTATGTGGCCAGAATTGAGTGGATCTCTCAGATTGGGGGCTACATGTTGAAACTGGGTGTGTCTGGACAGTATGGTGCCTGGGTTTTGCATGAAATAGAACCTTAACACTCTTAAGTTAACAATAGTCCAGATTCTAGGATCTTGCAAAGATTTGCACTTCTAATCTTACCTGTTGTCCTTGTTTGACACCTGGTTTGAGAATACTGTTAGCCTGTTTGACACCCCCACTTTTCCAAATACACAGTATCCTAAGGATGTTACTTCATAGCTCCTTTCCATCTACGTGTAGGAATATCTTCAAATGCTTCCTTACATTCAAAGTGTAAACCTGTCATCTTTGAAGCCACTCTGACTTACTTTTGGTTATGTGGTGGTTTGTAATGCAAAGAGAGCATAGAGGGAGGGGAACACAAAGGGACCTGCTCCTGTCTGTGACCTTTAACAACTCATCTCTGGACCTTGATTTTTTTCTCTCTATAATAGATTTGAATTGAGTGTTCTGTGAGAGCTTTCTCCACACTATCTTACATGTTTAGATAGGTTTTCATCTTCTCCACACTGTCTCAGATGTTTAGGATAGGTTTTCATTTGGCATATTGTGTAATCAGTTTGTCCTGCCTTGTATCTCCCCATGATGTGTTCCATGGTGTCCTTGTTGTGTTAGCTTCAAAGGGGTCCAATGGTGAAGACTGACTAAAAGCCCCCAGTGGTGGTTACCAGGAAGTGGAGGGACCCTAGGCCTATGGTTTTACTGTTCTGGAGGAAGTAAACAGCGGTGTGTGTTTCTAAGCAATAGTTGCATTAAGTAATTTCATTGTCTGGATTTCTTTTGTATCATAGCCTACTCATGAAGGTTACTTCTCTTGTTTGGATATCTGGACACTCTTTTTGGACTATCTGACAAGTAAAATTAAAAGTCGTCTGGGAGACAAGGAAGCAGTTCTCAACAGGTAAACCTCAAACACTGATAAATAGTGATAGCCATTTTTGCCAGTTATTCCTGTGGCCTGAAGGGACACCCAAGCGGATAGACCTGCTCAGTGAGCCTAAGTCATGTAAGCTGTTCAGAAAGTAATGCCATTGAGCACCATCTTTTTTCTTTATATGTCTTATTTTCTTAGAACACTTTTTCTAATTAAAGTAATATATATTGTTATTTTTTAGGTATCATAATGCTTTTGTGTGTGTGTGTGTGTGTGTGTGTGTTTAAACTCTTGTTTTAGAGATTAAAACAAGTATTTATTGAATGAATTGATATGACACTTGGGATTTGCTTTAAAATAACCCACTGCGGGTAGAAGGGAAGTCATTGGGTGTATAAAAGAAACAGGGTTTCCCATGTGTCAATAATGATGTTACAGTTAGTTGGTAGGAACTTTGGGTTTATTATGTTCCTATTCCCTTTGCAGAGAAAAATTTCCTAAATTATGAATGTCTGTCATGAAAAAACATATTTATTTTCAAAATAGGAAAAGATACAGAAAAATATAAGGAAGATAAGCTATCCATAATCCTATACTTCAGAGATAAATACTTTTATACTTTTCATTATATTTTTTTAAACACAGAAAATGAGGGAAGGTTTGTTTTCCTTCATATGCTTTTCAATCCGTTTTTCTTGTTTACAGGCAGAAAGCATGCTTTCTGTGTAATAAATCTAGTGACACTGGGTGGGGAGAGGAGGAGGGAAGCTGGGGATTCAGCATGCTAGGAAAAGAATTATAGAATAGTAGAACTACAGGTAGGGAAAATATAGTGGCTGCTTTTCTTATCTATCTATGTTCCAGTCACATGCTGCACAGGCGGGCTTGAAGGAGGCACAGACCCTATGTTTGACATGGTAGTGTTAGAAGAGTTTCTCATTACACAAAACCTGATTCTTCCATTTCTCGGGCGCATAGTTTACGATCCAGCTTGTACTGGGTACTTTATCCACTTAGTTAAGGGAGTGCTTACAGTTTTCTTGTCTTTGCCTTGGCTTTCTTTGTCTTGTCTTTATTGATAAGAACCTTTTCAGATAAAGTGGGCACCAAATGTGAAAGCTGTTGAGTGGCTGAGGTTCTACAGTGGGGATGCCAAGACGGGCATCAGACAGCCCTAGATTTGAATCTTGGTTTTGCAGTTTTGACTTGCCTGTACTTGGAACCTTTGGTAGCTTTGTTTCCTTGTTTATAAAATGGTAATGATGCCGGTAGTTATTGAGACATTAATGGGTTAACATCTTTAGAATGCTTGATATATTGTAAATTGTCAATAAATGGCACCAGTGACTGGTGGCTGTGTTTGTCAGCTTTTTATTGCTGTGGCAAAATACCTGGCAAGAACAACTTACAGGATGAAAGGTTTATTTTGGCTTATGGTTTCAGAGATTTCAGTTCATAATCTATTGGCTGGACTGTGGTAAGGCAGAACATGAGCGACAGACAGACACACATATACACAGAGGCTGGGGTAAGACATAGCCTTCCAGGGCTTGACCACAGTGACCTACTTCTCCACCCAGGCTCCACCTTCTAATAGTTCATTTAGCTATGAACTCATCTATGGATTAATCCACTGATCAGGTCACTATTCTCACTATCCAGTCATCTCTCAAGGCCCTACCTCTGAACATTGCTGCACTGGGAACCAAGCCTCCAATCTGTGAGTCTTCGGGAGTATGCTTTATATCCAAACCACATAGTGGTGGAGTTAGTGAACATCCCTTCCCAGAAATGGGTTAAATGGAGGGAGATAGAGAAAGTCAACCTGGGAAGACAAGTTGGACTAGATCTGTAAAATCCTTTTCATTGCTGAGTTTTTATGAGTTTTTAAAATTCTAAACAGAATATTGGCATTCTAGGCTTAAGCATTTGTTCTTTTGTTTGAAAACATTACTTTGTGATTACAGAATAGCAGCTAAGTTGTCTGGTCAAATGTGGTTATGAGTAGGTTCATGCATCAGAAACCTCAGTATACAATAGTAGATCCTGTTTTCAGTGAAGTGGCCAACTTTAAGTACTTGTGTTTATCGTATACCAAGCAGGCATGTCCTTTGGTCCTGGGATTGTGCTTGAGATTTCTATCTAGAGATTGATACTCCTTTGTAGCTCTCAGGCTTGTTGAGAGAACTGAAGAAGTGAGTAGTATGAAAATGCTTTTTAAAGCACAGTCAGATGGAGTTGTAAAGAATATGGTTCACCTGAGAAAGTAAGTACACACTAGCAGATTGTTACTGTCAAGTGTGTACGTTCTTGCTACCTGTGCAGTGTGCAGATCATTTGTACCAACAGATGGATCAGTGGTAGAGTTTAAATTCCTTTTCTGCTTTGTGGTAACAGTGCTCTTGTCAGGTTATGTGCTAATCCCATCTTGCAAGGTGGATGTACTAATATTTTTCTTGCAGGATAGTTAGGATTCAGGGAATCATTGTGTGTAAACATCCAGGGATCTACATATATTATGCATTCAAATAGTTATGGTGTTGATGATGACAGCAGGAACAAGTAGTGGAAAATATTACTGCCACTTATCTGTGTAGTTATCAGAGTTATGTGACAAGGCCTCTGGACAGGCTAATGGTCTTTAGCTGACCTGCCTGCATGGGCATCTGATTTCACAGTCCTCTGTTGTTCTGGCTGAACACTTTAAACAGGAGGAAGTTTTCTCCCTGATTGTGTGGTTATTACCTTAACTAAGGCTTTATATTTTATGACTGATTTTGTTTTGTTTGCAGTATTGGGGATGGAACCCAGAGCCTTGTGCATACTGGGCTCTACCACTGAGCTACATCCGCAGCCCCGTGACTTATTTTTTAAAACACACACACACAAAACAAAAACATATAAACAAAAAGCACTTTTAACCTGCCTTTAAAAAACAAAAGCCCTTCAAAGCTGGTCTGTAGAGTATTGTTAAAGGTTGGTGCTTATCTTGTCAGACACCCTCTAGTGGTCTAAGTCAGTTGACTACAAAGAAGAGTGGACCAGGCAGCCCACTGGGTGAGTTGTGGCTTATGTAACCCCTTGCGCTATACATTTACCCAAGGGGGTGTGCTCAGAAGATTTCAAATGAAAGTTGGACAAGTTGGGCAGTCACTGCTCCACAAGGGCGCCAGTACTGGAGATGTGCTATTCATAGGTGCAGCTGGCAAAGAGCACTGGCTGCTGGTGACTGCCATGTTTCTTTTACCTGAGAGCATATAACTGTGTGTTTTTCAACTGGTGAAATACAGGTGGGTGCTTTTGGAATCATATTTGTGGCTTGCACCAGAATTTCAGAAGCGATTGATCTTGCAGGAAGTAGTCTGAAGTGTCTTCAATTGGAAACGTAGGTGTGGTTAAGTCACAGAGGCAGTGCTCAGTTCCTGTCCCTTGTGGTTTAAAGGTTTTGCATCATTTATCATCACAAAGTGTTAGGCATAATAGGCTACAAATTTAGAAACACAAAAGTACGTGGATTTATTTTTGGTCCTAGGAGCTTGGAAATTAGAACTGTGCGTGTTCCTTGCTCAGCGAGAATGCTGAGAGTTTCTTGATCAGAGCTAGTAGGACTTTAGAGAACTTGAATCCCAATGTTAATAGAGGAAGTCTGCTGTGACAAACCTTGCTGAAATGGTTGCTGATTGCCATTTTGAGGTGGTAGTAGGAAAGGCCTGGATTTCAGCCTCCTTTTTTTCTCATTTGTGCTTGAAGGAAGGTTGTGCCTTCTCCCAGCCCTTTAAGTGGAATGAGCCAATGTGTGTAAAGTACTGTGACTGGCATTAAATAAATATCATTAAATAAGCTCATTAAGTAAGTTTTAATTCTCTTGCCTGTTCTCTGCTACTTCCGTTTGTGCTCATCAATGTATTGGGAGTCACTTGTGTAGAAACTTATTTTTACAGAAAGATGAGGAAACCTGAGTGTGTGAAGCAACTCTAAAGTTATTGAGTCATGTCCTGTGAACCCCTTTGTCACAAGAATACTGGCAAGTGCTGGCCATAGATGAGCACAGGGATTTTGGGTGACATTACACTGGACTGTAAACAAATGTGGGTAGGCGTGAGAAAAGTTGCTGCTTTCTTTTGGAGTGGGCTGTGCTTTTAATAGAGGAAGTGCCTTTGTTACAAATGACATTTGATAAGTTAATAAAAATATTAATTGGGTTTAGAGGTTTAGTAACTTTTTAGTTCCCGGTAGGAGAAATTCATGCCCAGCCTATACCTGAGAGCAGGGGAATGGAGTCTTAGTTTAATTGAAAAAGCTATCCAGGACTGTGCTTCAGACCTTCATGGCTGTCTGGCTTATAGCTGTTTTCTGTGTTCTTTTTTATGTCTTTGCTTATTTGTTTACTCATCATGTATTTATTGGGCACCAGCATAGATCATTTTTTCTAATGCTTAGAATTGGTGAGGTCAGTTGGGCTTTTTCCCATTGTGTATGTACACATTTAACGCTGTTCTCCCTCTAAGCCCTGCTTTAGCTTTATCCAGCAGGCTTTCATATGTTGCATTTCATTTTAATTTGCTCTAAAATATGTTCTAATTTCTCTTGAAATCTCTTTGTTTAATTTCTAGATTTTGTGGGATTTTCTGTGTATTTTTTGATTTCTAGTTCAATTTTATTATGGCCTGTGAACACAGTTTGTATGATTTCAGTCTTTTTCCAAGTTATTAAGGTTTGTTTTATAACCTAGTCTTCTTGGGGACTATTGTGCACCTGGATTCTGCTGCTATTGGCTGGAGTGTTCTGCATGTGTGAGTTAAGTCAAGTTAGTTGACAGTATTACACATGTTTTCTTTATTTTACTTGTTCTGTCAATTGCTGAGAGATGTGGTTTCTCCAACATAATTGTGGATTTGTCTGTGCCTTCTTTCAGTTCTATTAGTTTTTGCTTCATTTATTTTGAGACTGATTTTAGCTATATGCACACTTAGTTTTTCTCAACGAGTCTATTACATGTTTGACTGTATGGGCTTATTTTAGTGGTTGTCATAAACCATGCCACCATATAGATTCTTTTACCCCCTCTCCTTTACATGATGGTCACTGGGTGTTTACATTCACTTATTTTGAAAACCTATCAAACCATGTTCTAATTTTTGCTTTCATCAAACACCCATATTTTAAAGATCCTAAGAGCAGAGAAATAGTCTATTATACTTATCAGTATAACAGTTGACAATTGCCAGTTCTCTTGCTTTTCCTTCTTGAAGTTCTAGGTTTCTCTCTCATATTATTTACCTTTGGTATTAGTCTGCTCAGGCTGCTATAACAAAATACCATAGTCCAGGTGGTTTAAATCACAGAAGTTTGCTTTCTTGCTATTCTGGTGGCTGGAAGGCCCAGATAAAGTTGCTGGGAGATTAGGGTTCTGATGAGAGCTCTGCAGATAGCTGGCCACCTTCTTGCTCACTAGCCTTTCTTCTGTGTAGACTGCAGCTCTATTGAATTAAGAGCTTAACCTTTATTACCTCTTTGTAGGCCCTATCTCCAAATATAGTCACATTGACGGATAGTATGTCCACATATGAATTAGGGTGAGGAGGGACACAGTTCTGTCCCTGACATCTTTCATCTGAAGAACCTCAAGGAAGATATTATAACAGCATTAAAGTTTGACTTCAGATTGGTATGTTGGCTGTCAAGGTCTTCTCATATTTTATATACCAAGTAATTTTTGAATCCTTTAATAGGCTGTTTTATCTACCAGCCTTATGCATAGGTATGGCTTCCATCTCCACAGCCACCTTATTGTCAAAGATTGATGCTTGGGTAACAGGACTTAGAAGTGGGATAGATTGGGCAACCAAAGCTTTACTAGAAGCCCTGCTCAATGACTTTTGCTTTCTCAAGAACCACCTCTATCTGTAAGGGAGGCTGCAAAATTTAATCTTTCAGTTGGCTGTAGTGCCAGTCTGAACAAAGGTAGCATTGAGACCCTATTTCAAAAAACAAAAGGACTGAGGGCATGGCTTACGTAGTTGAGTGCTTTCCTAGCATGTGCAGAGCCCAAGGTTCAATCCCCAGAACTACAAAGGGATGGGGTGGGAGGAAGAAAAAAAGAGAAAGAAAGATATATTCCATGCAAATAAGAGAGAGCTGGGCTAGCAATACTAAGACCAGACAAAAGAGACCCTGAAACAAAAATTTTTGCCCGAGATGAACACGAATGTTCTATAATGGTAAAAGGGTCATCCGTTAAGAAGATATGTGGTCCCTGAAACATAGTTAAGTATCTAAATACCCATGATACTGCTCCACTCACATGTCTTTGCCATGGAGTTTACATTCTTCTTGTGTGTGGTGATCCACTGTGGGCACTGTTTCTTTCATAGCGCAGGATGCCTCATCAACACATGAGGCTAAAAGCTTCTTTTTACCTGATGCTGAGTCTCCTTCCTACACAGGTACGAAGATGCGCTGGTCCTCTTGCTCACAGAGGTGTTGAATCGAATCCAGTTCAGATACAACCAGGCCCAGCTGGAGGAGTTGGATGATGAAACGCTGGATGATGACGTAAGCAGCACACCTGAACTGAGCCTTAATCATTGTTGCCTTGGGATAGAAATGAGAATGGAGGTTTAGAACCTGCAACTCTTCTCTAGAGACTTCTTAAATCAGAGCAGTCTTATGGTTTGAGTTGTTCATTTGAAATTTTTATCTCTATTTTGTCTCATTGACTGTAAAAATGCTTTATAGGCTTTTGTACCTGTGGGATTAGAAATCTAAGTAGAGAAAACATGTACAATGAGAAGTGGTTTAGTGAGAACTCTTGTTTTTTATTTCCCCTGCCTTGCACCCCCACCTCTGGTCTTTACCCTGGGCAACAAAGAGTACCTAACTGTATGCCAGTGGAAATAGTTAAAAGGGGTATTTCAATAGTAAGGCTAGAATGAATGGAGGTTTGAATGTATTTTATAAACTGATTTAAAGAATTAGCCTAGAATGTATATTGTTGCTGGTGCACCAACAATGATAAGAGAAAAATGTCCTAAGGGCATGTAACCTAGGCATGGAGGAGATGGGGGTGCTGTATTGAGTTTCTCTGAGCCTTAATTTCCTTATCTTCCCAAAGGGGAATGACAAGTCATACTAGCCTTTGTTGGCAGTTACTCGAGGCAGCATATGTGGCGGGGCTGGTTGCGTGCTGGGGTCATAATAGGTGCTTCGTAGACTTGACTTTCTCTTCTAGGAACTATGGTGTGGGCCAGTGCTTCTTAACCTTTTGCTTGGATGTGCGTCATTAACAGCTTATTGAAACAGATGCTGATTCTGGTGGTCTGGGGGTGGGGGCCACAGAGTTAGCATTGGTGACAGGCCCCCAGGAGAGAATGATGCTATGCTGTTCACCTGTGAACCATTCCTTGAGCCTTGCTGGTTTAGACAGTTACAGGCACAGAAACTTAGCCATGGACAGTCTCAGAAGTGGGCAAGTGAGTGATGCCTATCAATGGGATGAGGTAAAGGGCACCTGAACCTTTCACAGGTGGCCCTTCAATTCAGTCTTTGCCCCAGGGGAAGAGTAGGTTATTTTATGTGGATCATTTGTGTTCTGAGGAAGTAGCTTTTTATGAAATCAGTTTTTGGACTAAAACATAATTCTAACTTGGCATTTTTAAGGTGCCGAATAACCTGGTTCTATCATTTTCAGTTTCTTCAAAATTTCATGTCTGTGAGCAGACAAAGCAAGGGAATCCTGGCAGGGAAGAGGACAGGATTCTGCCTGCTGGAGAGCTGATGCCTTTGTTTCCTCCACAGCAGCAGACAGAGTGGCAGCGGTACTTACGCCAGAGCTTGGAGGTGGTGGCCAAGGTGATGGAGCTCCTTCCCACGCACGCCTTCTCCACTCTGGTAAACACCATTTGAAGGGGGATTGAAGCCACATGGCTCGTCTACCTGTCTCTTTCTCCTCTCCCTCACTTTTCTCAAGCCCTCTATATAATTTTTCTCCCTGTGCTGGTGGATACAGCCCAGGGCGTCATGAATGAATGCTAGACAAGTACTGTACACTGACCTTCACCTCCAGCCTCCCCCACCCCAGCTCTTTTTAAACAGCAAATAATAATTACCATAGCCAGACTTCAAATTTACTGTCAACTTGTGGAAGCTCTTAGACATAATATGAATTTTACAAATGCCTTAAAACAAGTAACATCAAGTGATGTGAAGGTGGCTAGGCCTTGCTGAAGAAATGCTATTTTATGAAACACTGGCTCTCTCTGCCAGTGTTTATGTGCTGGAATCTTTAGTTACAAGGATGATTTCATTAAATTCTTATCTTCCGCAAAGGCAAGCTTACTGGGGTCAGCTTTTCATACATGACCCAACTGCATGGTGTTCTCTAGTGGAAAGCACCATTTGACTTTGTTATCTGCCCTTCCTAGGCACTTACAAGGGGACCCCATGTAAGTCTTGCTTTTGTCTTACAGTGAACAAGGCAGCTTTAGAAAGAAAGACCCAGCTCTCGTTATTAAATCCTGGTTGCTATATGATCAAGGAAAACTTATTTCCAAATAATTTGGCTGGTCTTTTCATTTTGCCTGTAGATATTAGCAAGGCATATTTCTCTCAAGAGCAGGGATTTGAGTTCCCGTGAACTGAAGGGAGATAAGGCCTTGTCTCAGCGCTCTGGAAGGTGTATGTCACTTTGGAGCTTTGTGTCCTCTGCTAGGACTGTAATATTCATATCCCAGCATCCTTGACTTTGCACAAAAAAGAAATCAAACTCATATGTTGTTTTCCTTCTTAGTCTGGGTATTAGATGGTGGTTTTAGCTGTAGAATTTTGGGGGTGGAGGGAACACTGAAGGGGAGCCAGCCACCTCATCTTAGCTGCATGTAAAGGTTCTTGAAGAAAAGTTCTTGATCCAGACCCTCTTCCCATAATGTTAAAGTGCTGTTAAAACTTTCATTTATGATTTTTCTTTTTTTTTCCCTTTTTTTAAAAAAAAACAAATCCTTTTCTCTTTGTTTTTAGTTCCCAGTTCTTCAGGACAATTTGGAAGTTTATTTGGGATTGCAGCAGTTCATAGTTACTTCAGGGTCAGGTAAATTGATTTTTATTTTCAAATTTAACCTATCATTTAAAAAAAACTGGACTGACAGTAACTCCTGCCACTTATGACTTTCCCACTGCAGCTGCTCTTCCCCATGTCTCTCCCCACTTCTAAATAGACAAGTGTTTAAGAGTCCCTGATACAGAGAAGCTGTGGGGGAGGTAAACGATGAGGCTCTGACATTGATTTCCAGAGAATTTGGAGCACAGAGCTGACTGAAAATCCTACAGTATTTCCTTATGTCCTTTCAAATAGCAAATATGTTGGAAAGAAAATGGCCTTAGACCTTTCTTTGATGGGCTCCTTCTCTGGTTTGTAGGACCAGAAGGACAGAGGAGCAGATCCAAGCAGGCAGTCAGGGTACAACACCCCACTCAGTTGTTCTCTTCTACTGGGAGTGGCCTGCAGGAGGCGCTGCCCACAGCTAGCTGCAAAGGCTTTGGGCTGCACTTCACAGGTCTCCTGCTTGGGGTGTAGGGTTAGCACTTTGATATTTTGCTGATAATATTAATAATAGCCTCCGTTTCTCAGGCACTCATTACATGCCAGGTGCAGTGTTGTTTCCTCACTGTCCTGTGTGGTATACCCATATTTTACAGAATAGGACATGATGTTCAGAGATGGTAATTTATCCAAGGTCACATGATTAGTGCTAGTTCCAACAAGGTATAATAGGGAGTGATGAGAAGGTGCCATAAGTGACATTCATTTTTTGATGGCTGAAAACACCAGTATTATAAAGTCCCACGTGTGCTTCCTGCCCTGCCATCTCCTCTGCCATTTCACATCGCTCTTCCTCATGGTGTTAACTTGTAGGAGGTACGCCTGGACCTTCAGTCCCACTGTCTTGTCCCTATTGTTTCAGCCTGGCACCATGCTGGCCAGAGGGCAGTAACTTCGTGGGCTAGCTTGTCATTTGTGACAAGATCTCCATAGGGCCCCTTTCTGAGACTGTCGTTTTTGGTGGCCCCTGACTGCTAGTGTCCATGACTATTAGCTTTGAAATAATCCACTGGGCCTCAGGAGGCTGATGGGACTTGGCATGCCTCAAGTCCTGACCCTGACTTTGAACAGCTTACACAAACTTTGAAAAGGAACTTTTCAAAATAAACATGCCTGTAAAATGCCTGTCATCACTAATGAAAATCATTTGACTGTACAATATATCCAGATGGTCTTTTCCTCAGGGCCATTATTCAAATTAGAATGTATTCCAGACCCCAAGGGCGTTATTCTTTTTTTCTTTTTTAAAGACAGGGGCTTGCTGTGTACCTTAGGCTGGCCTCAAACCCACATGTCACTACAATTCTTGATCTTCTAAAAAAAAAAAAAATCAAATGAGTACCCCTGCTCCCACCTGACTCCTCAGTTTCCTGTTGAGTATTGTGGTTGACCTTTTTATGCCGTGTCCAGTCTGTCCTTAGGTGAAATGCAGTGAGTCCTTAATCCTCCTTCTGCTAAGACTAATGATAACTCAAGAGCTTCCCATTCTTGATGGATAACGTGATGTATTTTTCCCTAAGTCAAATGTCATATACCTGTCCTCATTGAAGCCCATTTACTGGCATTTTCACAGAACACTTGGCTCTTCCAGATCATTTAGAAATCACATTTCCAGTACTGATCCTTGGTGCCTGTTAAGTGGCAAAACCTCTCAGGCCAGAAAAATACTTATTTCCTGTTTTAACAGGAGCTTTCTTATCCAAGATGAAGCATTCCCCCATGCTTTAGTGGCTGAGAAGCCAAGTTTTCAATGCAAAGGCTATTAAAAAATTGAAATTGCTGAGTACAGTTTGTCTTTGGTTCCTGTGAACATTTGCCCCTGCTATATTGGTCAGACTTACTGGCTCTCAGCAGAAACCATTTTTTCTTTTCCCCTCATAGGTTGTAGCCTCTTCTTTTATTTGCATTGACCTTCTAGCTTAGCCTTTGACTTTTTTCCCCATTATCAGTGCTGGGGATGTAACCCAGGGCCTTGAACATGCTAGGCAGGTGCTGTACTGTTGAACTATACCCCCTAGCCCTTCAGCCTATCATTCTGAGTCTCACCCGGGATCCTGTGTAGGTAGGAGTCAGGCATAGTTCCTTCCCTTTTCTGTTATTGTGATCATTGGTGACAATTGGGTGTATTTTTAACCTATAAAGTTGTCACTCAGCTGAGAAACACCCCGCCCCCCTCAGTTTTGTTAGAGCATTCACATTCAGAAGAGTTGGAATGCTTACCATTTCCTCTGCACCACTGACCTTGTTTCTGTTTCCTCATGTAAGACCAAACCAAAACATTTCTGTGTCTGTGTGGCATATCAGTTCCCTACCTATCAGTTGCTTTGTGCCTCTTTTGCCCCCACCGGTCATCCTTGCTTTCACTGTCTTACTGTTTGTGAGTTAAGAAACCTATCATTGCTTGTTCTCCTTATATCCATTTTGTGTTTGGCTTTGCTACTCCTCGCTGACAGCTTCCCTTAGCTATAAGTAACCCCTTTTACTTTTTTAGTTAGCCATGCATACTTTTCCTGTCTAAGAGATTGTTTCTTCTACAACAAATAAAAATGTTAGATTTACATTCTTTGTTCAGCTTGGGTTCATTTATAATTGGTTCTGTTAGAGCCGTTCATGGGATGTGATTTAGAGCACATGTAGGCTGCTTCAGGATGACTTGGTTTATGAAAGAAGGGACATTTTAAAAGTCTCTCTAAACCTATATGTTGCAGTGGTCTCATCTAAAGTTTCTGATTTATAGATGCTCAGTACTTTGGGGAGAAAAATATAAGCCTCAGTCAAGTAGAAGAAAGTGTGGGTTAGAATGAATAGATTTTCACCTCCCCCTAGTTGGTGCCTTGCGTGTTTTTTTGGGGGGTGGTGTGTGTGAGAAGGGAGATGGTAGGTAACTAGGCTGGAGATGGGCGGGATTTGTGGTACTTCCTGCCTGTGTGTCAGTCTGTCTTGCAGACAGAATAGGGAAGAACCACCTGCCCTTTTGGTTAACACGAACCTTTAATGGCATATAGAAACTGAGTTCAATTGTGTGGACTTGCAGTTTTGTTCAGATAGAAGTGCTCAGCCCTCTAGTTTCATGTGGTTCTGACTAGTAGTTTAAGACACATAGTACTTCCTTTTTGTTTTCCTTTCTAGGCACTACACTTTGCTAGACAAATTTGGGCAAGTTCTGAGGGGAGTGGTCAGGATGGCAGGGATTGTTGGGAGGGTAACGGAAAGTGGAAGGGGCCCAGGACTTAGTTTTTTTAATGCATTCTAACTTTGTTGTAAAAATAGTAAATTGCATGATAGCACAGCCCTGTCATTTTGTAGGGGTGACTCTTTCACCCAGGGGGATTTTATTTTGAAGTAGCCATGTGCCAGGGCAGCAGGTTTGGAGTCAAGATGAGAGCGCCAGGTCTGCTCTAGAAATAGGACCATGCTGGGCATGTTACTGACTGGGCCTTCTTTGGTACACTTCCTTGTATATAAAATTGGTGGTGTCAATGCCTTACCAGCTTCAAGAGGCATCAGATTGTGCTCCTCTGTGTTAGCACATCCCAGGCCGTCTGTCCCTCCCCCGGCACCAGGAGCACATGTGGGTATAGCTTTAGGTGGAGGCTGTACCCAGTGTCCCTGCTTGGTAGCAGGAAGCTATGAGTGGGTTGATTGGTTTTGCCCTGGGCAGCTTGAGTGGAACTGCTGTTTATGTGAACTACAGTGTGTTCTTCCTGTGAACAACAGTCTGTGGTGTTGTGTTCCAGGACACAGGCTGAATATCACCGCGGAGAATGACTGCCGGCGCTTGCACTGCTCCCTGCGAGACTTGAGCTCCCTGCTGCAGGCTGTGGGCCGCTTAGCTGAGTACTTCATTGGGGACGTGTTTGCTGCGCGGTTCAGTGATGCCCTCACTGTGGTGGAGAGGTAGGTGGGCACAGTGCAGCCTGATCCCCTTCAGAGCTGACTCCTACCTTCTCACAGGAGGTGCGCTGTGAGTGCCAGCTCTGCCCAGACAAGCAAGTGTGGAGCAGTGAACTGTTAGCCTCTCTGAACTTTGATGCCACATCTGTAAAATGGAGAGGAAATCATTTCTTGTAGGTTTACTGTAAGTAAGGCACTTAGAACGTGCCTAGCACTGAAACAAACACAGCTGTTACTCGCTGCATATGTATAGGTAGAAAATCAGTTCTGGACTCAGAAAGAGCCAGGTGAGGTTGGTGTGTATAGTCTTCCCATAGGATTAAACGACATTAAGATAAGGGACAGTATATCTGAGCAGGATGCCAGCTGCCATGAGTGTGGAGGGCTGTCAGTGGTTTGTCTTATCCTCCAGGCCTGGTCTAAGAGTGGTTCCAACCTTTTACCACTTAGCTCCTTTTCTTCCTGCTATCCCTTGTGTCCCTTGTGTGAAATGCAGGTGTATCTGTTCGTTGTACCCAGTCCTCCCTGACAGTCTGCACACTAAAAGTCAGATGTAAGCAATGGGGAATTTGGACCATTTCAAGGTAACTAGAGGGTTGATGAGATCAAAGCTGGGTAGGCGTGGGTCAGTCCAAAGGCCCTGAGCCCTGATGCTTTCATTGGTTCAGTAGCCTCCTCACTGGTAACACATGTGGAAACAGCCCCAACAGACTGAATTATATCCATAACCCGATTTTTCTCAGGCTGCTACATCTTGGCTTAAAAACAGAAATAACTCAGAATTTATTTATTTATTTATTTATTTATTTTTTTGGTGACTTAAAGTTTATTTTTAAAAAAGGTGGTTATTTTTGCAATGGCATGGTTATAGGACTATATGAAGAAGTAACATATCTCTTTTTCCTTAACCATGCTTTCTTTTTTTTTTTTCTTTTTTAACTTTCTACACAAAGGTAAAAGTTTTGTTAATCTCATAGTTAATGATATAAAACAGGTCAGCAAATTCCAAAGATATTAAATATTTTATTAGGTTTTGCAGGCCACATATGGTCTGTAGTGTACTTATACTTTTATAACCTTTTAAAAATATAAAAACCATTTTTAGTTTGTACCATACAAAATAAACTGGGCCAAATTTGGCCTGCAGGTTGTTGCTTACTGACTCCTGGTATAAATACCCACTTTCAATAACTCAGAATTTTAAGTCCCTGAAAAGCCAAGCTACTATTAAAAATAAAAGTGGCATACAGTAGTGGGAAGTTTTCAAAAGTGGCTATACCCTTTTTTGAGAGACCAGTATTGCCATTTTCCTGTTGAGTAAATTGTGGCTCATTGGTAGTAAGTACCTTGTGCAGTTCATTTGCTTCATGAGAGGGAGTCCAGATGTTTCCTGAGTCCAAATGTGAGCTCTTGCTCTAAACTATAGCACTTCTGCTTCCAGAGTTGTCTGTTTTCTTGGACCTGTGCTACATCCATTTGCACTGATGTTTAGCAGGGTTAGGATATGCCTTCCTGCTTTAACTTTATGGATAAGATGTCCATTTTGTTATTTTACTTTGTTAAGTGATATAGACATGCCTGTCAGTCATTTTGACTTTATGGTGAGATCACATTGAGAGCTCCTCCTGAGTTGTTAGGTTTTTAAGCTCAGTACTGAGCAATACTTGCTGCTTTGTCTGCATTTATAGACTAGAGTGTGCCTACATCACCTGACTAGACTAGCCAGTGTGATTAGTGTGTTTTAACTTAACTTAAACTTAACTTAAAGGTCACATTAAATAAACCTAGTGTTCAAATTGCTAAGCACAGGCTTCTTATTTTTGAGAGGGACTGGGGTTTGAACTCAGGGCCTCATGCTTCTAAGCAGGTGCTCTGCCACTTTGAGTCCATTTTGGTCTGGTTATTTTGGATTTGGAGGTTTCGAGAACTATTTGCCCAAAGCTGGCCTCAAACCATGATCCTCCCAAGTAGCTAGGATGACAGGCGTGACTGTCGGTGCCTAGCTAAGCACAGGCCTGTTAAAAGACATTTAGAAGTCCATTTTTAGTGTGGAGCATGGTGTCATTGTATTTGCTTACTAAGAGTTACTATTTGACTCCAGAACATCCTAGAACTTCAAATTAAGAACTTGGCTCTCTACCCTCACTTTTTTTTTTTTTTTGTGGTACTGAGTATTGAACTCAGGGCCCTGTGAGTGCTAGGCAAGCACGCTGCCCTGCCTTCCCTCTCTTGACTCACTAAAAGTACCCTAAGTACCCTTTCTAACTGCTTTCCAACCCCGAATAGTTTATGGTTTTCTATTTGGAATCAAGTCTTGCTTTCTTTCCTTTCCAGAGAGGAACATTTTCCAGAGTGTGGGCCTTCATGCATCAGTCCTGGGTGCTTTTCAGAGCTGGTGTTTTCCAGAGTCTGCCCGTGGGCTGGGACCAGGGTTGCATGGTAGCAGATTCCCAGTTGATAGGTGTACTCCCAGCTTTCCATGCACAGTAGCCCAGAGAATCCAGCCACAGCCTGTGATGCATTTAGAGCTCCTTTGTGTGCAGTAAGCCTTGAGCAACCAGTGGGCCCACCTTGCTTCTGAGAGAATCATCCTGGGGCTGTGCCATGCCTTAGCTCATTCAACAGGCACTTGCTTCTCCTATCTCTCTACTTCAGTGTTTTACCATAAACATCTCCAACCTTCACAACAGTGAAGGGAATATCCATTATGTATATATACATGCATATATGTATGCATGCATGTGGCTACCACCTGGGTTCTACAATGTGTATTTTTCTGTATTTTCTTTACTATCTATCAGTCTGTCTGAAACATTTCCTTTAGAAAATTTGAAAGTGATTTTAAGCTAAAAGCCATGTTGGTTTTTTTTTTTTTTAATCTTTAGACCAAATTTATTTAGCTACCATACTATAGTTTATTTTATTTATTTACTTTTTTATTTTATTCTTATATGCATACAATGTTTGGGTCATTTCTCCCCTCTTCCCCCTGTCCCCTCCTTCTCTCCCCCTACCCCTTTGCTACCAGGCAGAAACTATTTTGCCCTTATCTCTAATTTTGTTGTAGAGAGAGTATAAGCAATAATAGGAAGGACCAAGGGTTTTTGCTAGTTGAGATAAGGATAGCTATACAGGGAGTTTACTTGCATTGCTTTCCTGTACGTATGTGTTACATTCTAAATTAATTCTTCTTGAACTAACCTTTTCTCTAGTTCCTGGTCCCTTTCTCCTATTGGCCTCTGTTGCTTTAAAGTTTCAGCATTAGTTCTTTTGCATTGAGGACATCAAATGCTATCTTGTTTTTTTTTTTTGAATTTCTTGCCTATCCTCATGCCTCCCTTGTGTGCTCTTGCCTCATCATGTGATCAAAGTCCAGTCCCCTTGTTGTGTTTGCCCTTGATCTAAAGTCCCCATATGAGGGAGAACATACAATTTTTGGTCTTCTGAGCCAGGCTAACCTTGCTCCGGTTGCTATTCTCCAGTTCCATCCATTTACTTGCACATGATAAGATTTCATTCTTCTTCATGGCTGAGTAGTATTCCATTGTTGTGTATAAATACCACATTTTCTTAATCCATTCATGATAGTGGGGCATCTTGGCTGTTTCCATAACTTGGCTATTGTGAATAGTGCTGCAATAGACATGGGTGTGCAAGTGCCTTTGGAGTAACCTGTGTGTCGCATTCCTTTGGGTATATCCCCAGGAGTGGTATTGCTGGATCATATGGCAGATCTATGTTTAGATATTTAAGAAGCCTCCAAATTTTTTTCCAGAGTGGCTGTACTAGTTTGCATTCCCACCAGCAGTGTATAAGGGTTCCTTTTTCCCCCACATCCTCACCAACACCTGTTGTTGGTGGTGTTTCTAATGATGGCTATTCTAACAGGAGTGAGGTGGAATCTTAGTGTGGTTTTAATTTGCATTTCCTTAATGGCTAGAGATGGTGAGCATTTTTTCATGCGTTTTTTTGGCCATTTGAATTTCTTCTTTTGAGAAAGTTCTGTTTAGTTCACTTGCCCATTTCTTTATTGGTTTATTAATTTTGGGAGAATTTAGTTTTTTAAGTTCCCTATATATTCTGGTTATCAGTCCTTTGTCTGATGTGTAGCTGGTAAATATTTTCTCCCACTCTATGGGTGTTCTCTTCCGTTTAGAGACCATTTCTTTTGATGAGCAGAAGCTTTTTAGTTTTATGAAGTCCCATTTATTTATGCTATCTCTTAGTTGCTGTGCTGCTGGGGTTTCGTTGAGAAAGTTCTTACCTACACCTACTAACTCCAGAGTATTTCCTACTCTTTCCTGTATCAACTTCAGAGTTTGGGGTCTGATATTAAGGTCCTTGATCCATTTTGAGTTAATCTTGGTATAGGGTGATATACATGGATCTAGTTTCAGTTTTTTGCAGACTGCTAACCAGTTTTCCCAGCAGTTTTTGTTGAAGAGGCTGCTATTTCTCCATCGTATATTTTTAGCTCCTTTGTCAAAGACAAGTTGGTTATAGTTGTGTGGCTTCATATCTGGGTCCTCTATTCTGTTCCACTGGTCTTCATGTCTGTTTTTGTGCCAGTACCATGCTGTTTTTATTGTTAATGCTTTGTAATATAGTTTGAAGTCAGGTATTGTGATACCTCCAGCATTGTTCTTTTGACTGAATATAGCATTGGCTATTCGTGGCCTCTTGTGGATCTAGTTTCAATTTTTTGCAGACTGCTAACCAGTTTTCCCAGCAGTTTTTGTTGAAGAGGCTGTCTTTTCTCCATCGTATATTTTTAGCGCCTTTGTCAAAAATAAGTTGGTGCCAGGTTGGTTTTAACAATACAGATTTTATGGAAGGTTTCTGTCAGTCTGTTTACATATACTCTTAGAAGAGTATGTCTGCCTGTTTTTTGTTTTGTTTTGTTTTTTGAGATAGGGTCTCTGTAGCTAAGGCTGTCCTTGAAGTCATGCTCCTCTGCCTCAGCCTCCTGAGTACTGAGATTGCAGGTGTGCTTTTTAAAAATATTGTTTATTCTCACTTATAGAGGCATTCTATAGGTGTCAGTGTGGTGGATGTTTATATTGTTTTTAGACTTCTTGACAATGTAATTAATGCTTTAGTAAGTGTCCTTGTATATAACCTTCATATACATCTCAGATTATTTCCTTGGGATAAAATTGAAGGTCTAATGTTGATTCTGTTTTGTATGAAAAAGTCAGTCCTTTTCTTTGTTGGTACCTTGTCAGTTTGTTCATTTTATTCCTCACACTGAAGGTTCTTTCTCATCTTCTTTGCCAACAGGTTGGTTAAAGTCACTTTGTATGGATCTCAGATAAAACTGTACAACATTGAAACAGCTGTGCCATCGGTGTTGAAACCTGACCTCATTGATGTGTAAGTAGGGTTTGGTTTCTGCGCCTTCTCAGGCAAGACCTTGTGCTCCACCTCCAAATGGTTTGGTGGAAGGAAAGGAACAGTAGCAGTTGCCATCAGTAGGGGTGAAGTCCTTAAACTTGGAACCCAGAAAGAAGAAGATTGTTGGCTTGTATGTCTGGGGCAGGGGGTGCTGGAGTGAGTGGAGTTTCTTGGGCACTGGGTGCCTGAGGAGAAGGAGATTCTGTAGAGTGGGCATTGCAGGAGGCACATGCTGTGGAAGCCATGCAGTTAGGGAGTGCACTCTGGTGAGAAAAGAGTTTGTATGTCCTTTGGGACCTTAAACATCACTCACTGAAACTGAAGATGTGTGGAGAAAGCACTGATGACATGCTTCAGGGGTGGGATGTGGGGCTTCTCCGTGGTAAGCATCAGGAACCATCTTACATGACCTGGAGGTAACATCAGAGCCCACAGGTGGAGGCCTAGTCCCCAAAACTGTCCTTTCCTCAGTGCCTTTCCCATGCTGGTTGCAGACCCCAGAATGTTTTTCCTATGCTCTGGCCTGCAGCTCTAAGTGGGAATTCCCACAACCACCTCCTCAGGTTTCCTTAGTTTGCTAGAGTGTATCACAGAACTTGGGGAGACACTGGTTTGTTATAAAGGACACCAATGAACACCAGGGGAGGAGCTGGCCAAGGCAAGAAGATGCGGGAGGGGCCTCCCTCCACATGTGTGGTTGTCCACAAGCTCTCTGGCCTTCCCAGCCTCCTTAGGTTTTTATGGATGCCTTTGTATGAAGACACTATTGACTGATTAAATCACCAGGGGATCTTTAGTCCTCTTCTGCCCCGGAGATTAGAGATGGGGCTGAAAACTTCAACTTCTGAGCACATAGCTGGTTCCTCTGATAGCTAGGCCCCCATTCCTGGCTATCTAGGGACTTTGCAAAAAATCATTCTTAATGTAATTCTCAGCTGTGTTTGGAAGGACTTGTTATAAATAGCAGAAGACTACCTCTCGGTGCCATGAAGTTGTTGCAGGAAGTGAGGCTGAAAGGGAAAATATTTTAAAATAAAAATTGCCCTATTGCTGTAGTCATTTAGGACATAACAAGGGTTGAGGGAACAGTGGACAAAAGCAAAACGTGTCATACTATCTCAACATGGCAGAGAACGGTATGGGGTATATGCTCCTTCAGAAATGATGATTTTGGTAGGATGGTATAAGGCTCAGGTATTTGCACATTAAATATTTAAGACCCTTAGGTTATTTATTTGGCAGTCCTGAGGTTTGAACTCAGGACTTTACACTTGCAAAGCAGGTGCTCTACCACTTGAGCCACACCTCCATTTTCCTCTGGTTATTTTGGAGATGGGTTCCCACAAACTATTTGCTTGGGTTGGCCTCAGTGGTGATCCTCCTGGTCTCAGCCTTTCAGGTAGCCAGGTTTATAGTCAGTGGCACCTGGCTAGGAGGGTGGTTTTAAAGACAGAAGGGACTGAAGAAGGCAGAAACAAAAGGCGAGTGCTCATTTCAAAGTTACTTTCCCTGTAAAACAACAACAGAGAGACAGCCAATAGAAAAGTAACTGATTGGCTAACATCAGGTTACTTCAGGTTTTTTTTTGTGTAGGGGTTAGGGCAGAGGGAACGTCAGTATTATGATACTCGGAACTACCCTGTTTGGTTGATTTGACTGTTCTTTCTCAATCCTGAATTCTAGGATCATAAGATAAACAGTACAGGTTAGTTCGAGTGTAGTGATGTGAAACTTCAGTTAGAGTGATTCATTCCATTGTGAGTTTTAGATGGGACTCTTGGGGCCCAGTGTACAAGCTTAATCCAAAACAGTGGCCTCTTGTGATTTTTATTGAACACAGGTTTTATTGGGATACAACCATGCCCATTCATTTACAGTGACTGTGTTTACACATTAGCTGCAGAGTCATTAGTTGTGACAGGGAGAATGGTGTGCAAAGCCTAAAATAGATACACTGTGATTTTTTACAAAAAGTCTGTTCTAGAGTATTCTTGAGCTGCAAATTAAATAAATGATAGAAAAGAATCTTTTATTTACTATGGTTTTTAAACTTTTTCTTTTCTTAAAACATTGCTTTCCTTTTTGAGAACTGCAGAATGATGTTGTGAGGCATCTGTGAAAAAGATGAGTTTGCTCATGAACCTGACAATGTGCATGCAATTTCAGAAAGTTCCAGAGCCCCTCTTATCTTTGGGGAACTCCTAAGTGTGCTAGACTGGACTGAAACCCTAGATTTCAAAGGCTAACTTTGATGTTTCATTTGTTGACTTTTGCATAGCTGTGACCAAAATACTTGAGAAAGTAACTTAGAGGAGGAAATATTTATTTGGGCTTATGGTTTTCAAAGGGCTCAGTTCATGGTCTGTTGACCTCATGTGCTTGGGCAGAACATCACAGAGGCAGGAGCTGGTGTGGGGAGGATGGAGGAGCTATTCCCCTCATGGCCGACAGGAAGCAGCAGGAGAGGAAGAGACTGGGGTCAGGTGTGATCTTCAAAGGCAAGCACCCAGTGATCTACTTCCTCCAGGTTAGCCCCACCTCCTGAAGTTTCCATTTTCCCAAATTGCACCACTAGCGGGGACCAAGTGTTCAGCACATGAACCTGTGGAGGGTATTTCATATCCAAACCATGACAGTGTTCTTCCTCCTTAAATAAAGGATAAAGGATTAATGGATTCTTAATATAAAATACCTGCCTGCTTACTATGAATTTCAAATGCCCACTCTCCAGATTTTCTTTCTTTAGGGTACTTAGTACCTTTTCCTATTCAAATTCTCATTTTGAAAAAGTTCAAACCTATAGAATATGGGAAAAACCATAGAATAAATGCCCTCATACCTCTATCCTGGAGTCATCAGGCCATCTTTCTTACTGTTTCTTATTTTTGCTTTCTATACACATGCACATTTACAATTTTTTTTTTTTGTCTGAACCACTTGGACATAAACTGCAGACATGTCATTTCACCCATTAATTATGTAGCATGAATCTATTATGAATAAGGTCATTCTTCTATGTAACTGTACCATTGTCAGCACTCAAAAGGTTTAATGGATGCAGTAATGTAATCTAATATGTAGTCTGTATTCAAATGTCCACAATTGTCCCTGGAACATCAAATGTATATTTGGATTCGAGGCTTACCTAATCATAAACCACACATTAAATTTCTCCTGTAGTGTAGAGCAGTCCCCCAGTCACGCATGCATGTGCTCCTGTATGTGTGAGAGAGACTTGTGGAGAAGCAGACATCTTTCCTCTTGTACCACAGCAGAAGGCTCTTAGTGTGAATTTGCCCTGTAATTGTTGGTGCTTTTGGTTAGAAAGTGGTATCTACCTGGTCCCAGAAGCAGTGACACTCCAGTAACAGTGCAGCCCTTCAGACCCCCAGGACTGGGTTTCTAAAATAGTTTTTTGGGGGAGGAGGACATGGAGCAATCTTGGGGGGTTGAATTCAGGGCCTTGTGCTTGCCAGGCAGCTGCTCTACCATTTGAGCCACACCCCTATCCCTTATTACTTTAGGTATTTTTCAAATGGGGTATTGCATCTATACCCTGGCTGGCTTAGACTATTGTCATCCCTTTTATGCTTCCTGCATAGCTGGGCACATTACTGCACCCGGGTTTTATTGACAGAAATAGGGGTCTCATGAACTTTTTGCCCAGACTGGCCTCAAATTGTGATCTGCCTAATTTCTGCCTACTGAGTAGCTAGGATTACTGGCATGAAGCGTTGTCTCGGTTCTAAAATACTTTTTCCACTAAAAGAAATCAGAGCTCCTTGAAGAAATGCTGTAAGGCCTTGGCAGGAGATCTTGGAGAATGTGAGGTAGTGGTTCATGAATGGCAGGAGCATGTGAGAAAGACACAATGGACTGGCTTGAAAGGGTTTTTCCTAGTTGAAAGTTTGATCATCAAGAAAAAATAAGGAGAATAATGGATTATACTACATTGAATAAAACAAGTCTTGCATTTGTATTGATAAAACCAAAAAAGATGAGGGGAAGGAAAGTTCTTTTGACAGACGACTGCCAGCAAATGAATAGAAAAGGAAAGACAGAAAAATCAACAGTTTGCAACCAGCAATGTGATAATTTACTCAAGGCCCCCAGTGATGCCCCAGCCATGGACAGCAGTATGTTTATATTATCTCAAAGTGTCACCACACAGATTTCTATCATTATTACAGAAAGGGGAGAGATGACATTTAGGTATATTACAGGGTCTGGTGTTTAGAAGCTCTTAGACAACAATGTTACTTGGTAAGATTCAGTGTTTCTCATCTTGATGAATTGTGATCTCTGTTGACATATGTTTTATTACACGTGCAATGCAGTACCCCCTTTGCAGAGACCAAGTGCAGTGTTTGCTTCCTTAGTTCTGCTCTAGCCAGAGAGATGATGTGAGGGAAGCCTAACTTCTTGTGTCAGTGCTATCGTACAAATTTATAATACCTTGTACCTGTTTCCATCTTGGTTTGTAGCTTTGGATGTTAAACTTTTACTAGTTCTAAAGTCAACATAATTATCACTTGAATTTTGATAATTCTGTTTTTATAACTTACCATCTTCTCAGGTGAACTCATGTGTTTCAGGAAGGATTAGATCTGATAGACATTTATTCACTTCAGTCTGTGTTCAAGAAGGCCATGTGCATATGATGAGTATTTTAGTTTTTAGGTCCTGTGTGAGTAAGTCAGTAATTTCCATACTGTCTCTGTGTCCCAGAACAGCACAGGGGATGAAAATAAGTTTCACACTAATCTGTGTTCTCCTGACCCTTGTGGATCACATCTTCCTTCCTTTTCGCAGGCACGCCCAGTCGCTGGCTGCTCTCCAGGCCTACTCCCACTGGCTAGCACAGTACTGCAGTGAAGCCCATCGGCAGAACACGCAGCAGTTTGTGACACTCGTCTCTACCACCATGGATGCAATTACGCCCCTGATCAGCACCAAGGTCTTAAGACCTTTTATCTAACTCTTGTCTGTCCTTCTGTCCCTATACCTGCTTTTACACTAAGACCACAGTATCACACAGCATTAGAACCACAAGTCTTACCACTGTAACACAACTGTGTTATTTCATGTTCCTTTTCAGTTATAGACCACATGCATTCAAATAAAACTTTGTTTTAGTTCTCTAAGTCCCACATGAATACATGCTCATTGTGAACAAGTAAAACATTGTTCAAGTTTACTCACTAAAAAGTATTGCTGCTCTTTAATCCCTTCCCAGGGTGAGCACTGCCAGTAGTCAGTTGCATGTTCTTGTAGACTTTTTTCCTGTGACTTTACATACATAAATGAAAATTTGTAGCTAGCTGGAGATGTTGCTTTGGTTTCTTCTGTATATGTAGAACAGCTTCAGTTTTTCTTCAAGTGGCCCAGTGCTGTTCTTTTATGGGGATGTATTAGGGTTTTCCTGTTGATAGAAGCATGCTACATCTCTGTGTGTTTCTGTTTACATGCCAGTGGACCTTAGACCATGGATTCCCAGAGTAGAATTGCTGAGTAAAGCCCATATTCATGTCAAGTCTGCCAGATTCTATTAAGCTGTTTTCCAAGAAGTTTGTCAATTTATGTGACCAGACCATATAGATATTTGCTTCATTTACTTTCTTTTTCTGTAGTTGTAATCATATACAGTGTTTTGTACCACCTTTGTCAATGTATTGTTTTTAATAAGAATAGTATCTTGTTTTCCATAAATTTATGTTGTTTATAGTTAGGATTTGTAAGAGTTACAATGTCCCCTAAGGTATGTGCTCCATAATTTGTCTACCTGTTGTCAGACTTTCAGGCTGCTTCCATTAAAAGAGTGATTACTAGTAATTTTGGGATGCTTGTATTCATGACTGCAGCTTTATCCTTCTAGGTAATTACCTTAGAATAAGTGGAGCCTATGGCATTAAAGATAGGAATACTTTATGTTCTGGGAAATTACACTGATATTTCTTTCCTAAATTATTCTGTGCATCCTGACTCTTGGTGTGCTGTTTCTACCACACATGAAAGTTTTCTTGCGGCTGGGGGTGGGTCTCAGCAGTAGAGCACGTGCTTAATACACAGGAGCTCTGAATTCAATCTAATCTTCCTCCCCCCAAAAAGGTTTGCTCTTAAAAATTTGGAAGTTATCATACACACTTTGTTAGGCGTGTTGAGCTGAAAGAAGTAGGAGAGATTGGTGTGATGGAAGCACAGAAAGGACAGGCAGGGGAGATGTTGGCTTGTTTAGAGCCAGAGGAAGTGAGATGAAGAGTCTGTAATGTGGGGATTCTTGCCGGGGTTGCATGTACTGCAGCAGCTAGTGGAGAGCCACGTAGGTTCTGAGCCAAGATGTGACTGATGTCAAAGGTGTCATGGCTGTGGAGAAGGAATGGGGAGTGGAAGTGGCTGGAGGGCAGGAGCTGTAGATGTGGCAAAGAAGACAGGAGCCTTGCAGCCATGAGCCAAATTGAGCTTGTGGTGCCCCGGCACGGTGTCTAATGCCAGCCACATGGGGGTATAGTTAGCCAGCATGTTCTCTTCATCTCCAGGTCCAGGACAAGTTGTTGCTATCTGCATGCCACTTACTGGTCTCACTTGCCACCACCGTGCGGCCCGTTTTTCTGATCAGCATCCCTGCAGTCCAGAAGGTATTCAATAGGATCACTGATGCCTCTGCCCAGCGACTTGTTGATAAGGTAAGAGCCCTGGCATCCTGGCAAGCCCAGAGTCGGGTGGCTCGGGCCAGGGAAGCGGAGGCAGAAGAGGCTGCTTTGTGTTTGCACTGAGTCTGTAGGCATGCCAGCTAAGTAAACTGCTTATGGGGTAGTATCAGCATAGTCTTATGGCACTCACTGAAGTTCAGAATGCTGATACAACCTCAGTGCTCCCCACACATAGAGAAGTTGGGCTGCTTTGAAAACTGGTAATTTGACTGTTCAACGAGGGTCCTTGATGATGAAGTGTCCTGCAGCCCTGATTTGAGAGGCTTCTCAGGATGTCAAAGGCAGCAGCCAAGGGCCACAGCAGATTCTCTGTCTGCAGTGGGGCTTTGCCTCTGTAATGCTGCAGGCACAAATTAGAGGGAAGTCTGAGCACCAGTGAAGGCCTCTGGAGGCTGAGCCTGGCTATGCCAGACCATGCTCCAGGGTTACTTCTATGTCTCCTTAGAAATGGGTCATCTCAGAGGTAGACTATGGGCCCTGTCCAGGCTGTAGGAAAGGAGCCTGGGTCCTGAGTTCAAGGTATATGGCTTTCAGTTGCCCTTTGACTCTTTACGATGCCTTCTGGTCTCCTCTAGGCTCAGGTGCTGGTGTGCCGTGCGCTCTCGAACATCTTGCTGCTGCCATGGCCAAACCTCCCCGAGAGTGAGCAGCAGTGGCCTGTGCGTTCCATCAGCCACGCCAGCCTCATCTCGGCCCTTTCCCGGGACTACCGTGGCCTGAAGCCCAATGCTGTTGCTCCACAGAGAAAGATGGCCCTGGATGACAGTGAGTAGCTCTTGGACAGGGACAACCCAGGGATTTAGCTAGGCAGACATTGCTCTTCCTTGTGGTAGTGAAATTTGCACCTAAGCTCATGAGGTGAATTTAGTTGTCCATATCAAATTGCTACTGAGTGGAAATTTCAGGTGCTGGAGTAGAATCCTACTTACCTATGGAATTCAGTTAACACATCAGCTGGATGTATTTCCTGAATGCAGGCTGCCTTTCTGTTAGGTAAAGCGTAAGAAATACTGGACACCTAAGGGAAATGTCCATGGAAGATGCTCGAGTCATCTGTTTCAGATTTTGGGTAGGCAAACAGAGCAGTCCCTTCTTCTCTGGGATATTGAAGACAAGTCTTGTCTTCTGAGGTGTTCTAACCTTTTTCCAGATACAGAGACTTGAGAAGAGTATCTTCTCAGTGGCACTTGAAGTTTGTTTCAATTTGATAGGGAGAAAAATTGAATCAGGAGAAGGCTAGTTCAAGGATAAGATACTAGATTTCTCTGAAAAATCTCCCGGAAATATCAAATATTGTAGAAATGTTTTTAAAATAGCCTATTTTCACAATAAGGAAATAATGAAACATTAGATGGTATCATTTATAGAATGTCAGCAGAAGAGCTTTGTGAATGTTGTAGGAAGTCAAATACTCAGCATTCTTTTAAAAAACATAATCAGAAGATTAACAAGTGCTCTCTGTACAAAAATTTTAAAATAGAATATTTTAAACAAGAAAAAGGGAACTCCTAAATCACTGATTTTAGTATTTTGGAAAGTAAGCATTTTAACTACACTTTGTCATTTTCCTTTTTATACTGTAAGCATTTTGATAGTTACATAGAAGAGAACAGCTAATGTGTTGAGGGCATATTGTGTACTGGTCTTAGTGATTTTATGTCCATCCTCAAACTGCTGGCTTTTCCAACATCTACCTTCAAAGTCTGTGTTTGCTGGACCCTGGTTCTAAGAATTTTTCAAAAATTCAGTAATTCATTTAGTCTTGACATTAGCTTTATGAGTTAAGGAATGTTAATTATCCTGATTTTACCCATGAAGAACTGAGGTATGAACCAGGCACTGGTAACTCACACCTGTGAGCCTACTATTTGGATGGCTGAGATTGGGAGGATCACAGTTTGAGGCCAGCCCAGGTAAATAGTTAGTGAGGTCCCATTTCCAAAATAACCAGAGTGGACTGGAAGTATGTCTCAAGTGGTAGAGTGCCTGCTTTGCAATTGCAAAGCACGGAGGTATTGGAAGCTTAAGTAACTTGCCCGTGGATTATATATAGCTCTTAGGGAATCATGCTTTATAAGGTTTAACAGACACAGTAGTTATATCGGTCAGCATGGGCAAGGTGGTGCTCAGTGGTAACAAAACAACCCCAGCAGCTTAATGGCTTAATGCAGGGGGAAAAATTAAGTCTTGTTCATGCTGTTTGTCAACCCTGGTCACAGGAGCAGATGCGTGTACCATTTAAGGCGCTAGGTTGGTGAGCTCTGTCTCAGTGTGCACTCACACTGGGGAGAGCATGTGGTGAACTGAGGAGAAGGTGGTTAAGCTCTTGCCTGGCAGTGATGCGTGCCACGTTTGCTCATATTTCACTGGCGAGAGCCGGCTGCGTGTCCATGACCTAACCTCAGAGTGGGTGGAGTGTGTGAGGCTACCATGTGCTGGAAATATTTGCCAAGTTGCATTTCTGGTTTCTCCAGTGAATATAAGTAAAAGCATGGCTAGTGGTTTCTGAGGTTACCGGGCAGGCACTGGGCAGGGAGCTCAGTATGTGTTACTCGTGAGGTCCTCTCTAACCCTTTGAGCCTCTCCTGTCCTCATTCCACAGTGGTGAAGGAAAGCTTTCCTTTTCCTCTCACAGCTTTATACTTTGAAAAATGTCAAACCTAGAGTAGTTGAAAGAATAAGAAAATGAACAACTGCTGTCTTTCCCCAGGTTCACCAGTAGTTAATGTTTTGCTGCATTTGTGCTGAAGTTCTTCCCCCAACACACACTTTTGAAAAAATCCCAGACATTTAAAGTAAGTTGCACACATTGACATTTCATACCTGAATACTAAAGAACATGGTATTCTACATAACCAAAATGCCATGAGCACAACCAAGGTGTTAAACATTGTTAGAACAGTATCAGTTTAACATTTAGGTCACATTAAAGATTTCCCCAGGCTGGAGGTGTGGCTCAGGCAGTAGAGCACCTAACAAGTGTGAAGCCCAGAATTTAAACCCCAGTACTGCTAACAAAACAAAACAAAACAAAACCCTTCTGATTAAAGATTTCCTTGGTTGTCACCAAAATGTCTTTTTTTTGCTTTTTAAAATCTCAGGCCAATGCATTATGTCCAGTTGTGACATCTCTAATCTTCAATTCAGAAGGCATCCCCCTTTTTGTGTCTCTTGACATTGGCATTCTTGAAGAGCCCAGATGTGTTTTCTTGCAGAACACTCCTTGATTTTATTCTGTCTCATTGTTCCCTAGCAAGTTTGGTGCAGTAATGTGTACTGCTTGTTACATCATTTCTGCTGGTCTTGCTTTTGAGGCAGTGTGGCCAGTCTATTCCTTGGAAAGGCACCTTTCCTCCAAGGGTAGAAGTTACTCAGGACCTAGAGAGTGGTGGGGTCAGGAGTCTGGGTCTGAATGCCTCCACATCTAGAGCTCCGTACTGCTTTACCTCGTTGCCTCTTTCTTGAAAACATGTATTTTAGTGGTATTGTTACTTTGATTTTTGTTTTTTTATTTTTAGACAAGAGTCTTACTTTGTGGTCCAGGGAAGCCTTGAACTAGAGATCCTTCTGCCTCTACCTCCTGAGTGCTGAGGTCAGCTTTGTTGGTTTTATAATACTCTGTCCCTGTGGAAGTTGCACAGTTTACTAACCCATTCTCCTACTCTATATCCTTTAAAGTTTTGTAGATACCTCAGTCCTTTGTCTTAATTTCTGTTAAGTGTACAAAGTTAGATTTTGGTCTATGGACTCTTGTTGAGTTTTCCCTTTAAACTACTTCTCCAGGGCCTTCTGCACTCTTGGGAAAATGTCTGCCTTGTATGGGTTCCTATCTTGGTAAAAGTCTGTGTGCTTATAGTAGGTTTTTTGGTGTTTTGGTTTTTTTTTTTTTTCTGTATTGTGGTTTGAACTCAGGACTTTGGGCTTGCTAGGCAGACACTGTACTGCTTGAGCCATGCCTCTAGCCTTTTGCTCTGATTATGTTGAAGATAAGGTCTTGCTTTTTGTCCAGACTATCCAGGACCGCAGTCTTCCTATTTTACACTTTCTGCCTTAGGTAGGATGGTAGGCACACACCACTGTGCCCAGCTATTGGTTGAGATGGGGGTTTTGTAAACTTTTTGCCCTAACTGACCTTGAACTGTGATCATCCTGATTTCGACCTCCCAAGTAGTTAAGATTGCAGGCATGAGCCACTGGTGTCTGCACTCACCTTCCAGCATTCCTGTGACCAGGGCTGTTAGGAGCCAGTGTTTTGTTCCATCCTCAGTCCTGTGGGTGAAGTGATGTTACTGACCCGCATTTTCCAGTGAGCAAACCAGAACTCAGCAGCGAGAAGAGTCAGAGCTCAGAGCTAGTCATGTGCAGCTCCTGAGTGCGTCTTCTTTCTGCCACTCCATCTGCGGAAGCACCTTTAGCCCTTTCACAGCTAGTGAGCTGCAGGGTTCAGAGCAGTCCAGAGCACACTGCCAGGTGGATGATGGCTGAGCCATGGGGTCTCTCCTTGTGCTGGGGAACAGCAGCAGCTGTCTGCCCTGGACTTTCTGTGCCAGGTGCTCTGCTGGGATTGTTTTGAGCCTTGCCTCTAATCCTCACAGCAAGCCTGCAAAGGCGGCACTGTTGACCATCCCCAAGGTATTCACCAGGGTCTTACTCAAGGCATCTAGAGTGGGGAATTTTTGTTTTGTTTTGTTTTGTGGTACTGGGGCTTAAACTTGGCCTCATGCTTACTAGGCAGGTTCTCTACCACTTGAGCCACTCTGCCAGCCGTGAACTCCCCTCCCCCTTTTTCTTTTTGTGCTGGGTATTTTCAAGATGGGGTCTCATGGACTATTTGCCTATGCTGGCTTTGAACTGAGATCCTCCTGATCTCCTTTTCCTGAGTAGCTAGGATTACAGGTGCAAGCCATAGGTGCCTGGCTCTGGCAAGCTGTTGACCATCTGCAGTTCATGTCCAGACCTCTGTGCCCCTCCTGTGTTGACTGACAACTACCTCTTTTCCCTGCATACTACATGGAGTTGTACTGTGAAGTCACATATTAGCATACTGTTAGAATGAGATGTCTTTTCAGTAATGCATATATACATTAATGATACATGTATTATCAGGGCACAGGCCTGGGAGGCCAGTGGGTTGGTCAGATAATTTATTCTTGACCAACTTATTACCCTGCATGGCATGGTTCATGTGGATTAGCAGCTGGGGTGGAAAAAGTTTGAGCTGCATGTTCCATGCTTACCTGCTGATGCTTCTTTTCTCACTGTCTAGCCACAATCTAATGGGGTACACTTCTTTTTTTCCTTCTGTATGGGCCTGGGTGGGTAAGGCGAAATAGCCAAAATCATTCAGGCAAGCAACTGGAGTCTGGTAGTAAAAAGGAAGAGAAGGAGAGAAAGAGGGAAATGTTTTAACTCTCTCAAGAGAGAGTATGTTCTTTTAGTAAGACTCTGTTTGTGTTGTTCTTACTGACCCATTTGCAAATTTCTTCCCCTTCCCTGGTGTTCCCTCTTACTGTACTTTATTCTCAGACAGTGTATAACCTGTAGCTTAATCTTGATTTGCAGCCAAAGTGATCATCCACCAGACACTTAGTGTCTTGGAAGATATTGTGGAGAACATCTCTGGAGAGTCCACCAAGTCCCGACAGATCTGCTACCAGTCACTGCAGGAATCTGTTCAGGTCTCCCTGGCCCTCTTTCCGGCTTTCATCCATCAGTCAGGTAGGAGCTAACCCAAGGGCCTCATGAGTGAGGGGTGCTACCAAAAGCCACATGCCTGCTTAGATCTGCAGGGCATGCTGGGTCAGCCAGTGCAGGCCTGTACTTACTCAGCAGAGGGAAGCAGCACTGAAGGCATAGGGCAGGACTGCTTGTAGGCGGCACCTGATGTGGTGCTGCCTGTCTAGTCTTCCTTTTGAAGTCCTTGCCTTCCCCCAGGAGGGAACATGAGTGGATGAGAGAGTAGTTAGTGGGCAGTGTATGAGAGAGGCAAGAGGCTTTGTTCAGATCATGTTGCTTACTCATGTGGCAAGGTGAGTAAGGCTGAGATCATTCCCCTCACCCGCTGTCACTGATAGAGGTGCTCCAGCTCAGTACTCCTGAACACATTTACAGTACACTTGTCATATTATGAGAGAAGTACGAGGGCCTCTTACTCAGCATATTCGTTGTTTATCTTGTGCAAGCAAATTGTGTGATGAGAACCAGAATGTACCATGTGAGATGATTGCTGAGATCTGTAAGTAAAACCACACTAACTGGAACAGTGTTTCTATAGTCGGTCCACATAATGGACCAGGGCCACACGTCCCAAGTACACCCTCATTATCCACTTTCAGCCACTTAAGCCCAGTCGATTGCAGACACCCAGTCACAGACAGAAGTAGCTAAGGTGCTCGGGTGTTGACCCAGTTGAGTATTTTCATCTGTGTGAGCACAAAATGGTCCTGCAGTAAAAGCTGACCGTGGCTGAATGCTGGGTAATGAGCGAGGCTTTGAGACCTCCGGTTCCTGATGCAAGGTGTCAGGCAGTGTTTCCCTGAACTGGAGCTGTTGGTCAGCAGATCCTTAAGCATTTTCCACTTCCCGTCATTGGCTGTGAGGATACTGGGGAAATGTCTTCCATCAGAAGCGTTAGAGAGATGACAGTGCAGACAGCAAGGCTTCAGTTGTGCTCAGCGCACGCTTTGACTACTTGCTCTGCCCTTTCACTCAGATGTGACTGACGAGATGCTGAGCTTCTTCCTCACTCTATTCCGAGGCCTTAGAGTCCAGATGGGTGTGTCTTTCACTGAGCAGACCATACAGACATTCCTCAGTATGTTCACCAGGTAACCACATGCCCGTTGCCCAGGCTCTGCAGAGTCAGGTGGGAAGCTGTGCGGGGGCCGGCTACAGATCCTGGGGCTTTCTGCCCCTCTTCTTCAATCACCACAAGTGTTGGTTGTCATGCTAGTCCCTCAAAGAAGCAGGTCTTGCTTTACTGTGTGGTTTTCTCTTGTCTGCAGAGAACAGTTGGCTGAGAGCATCCTCCATGAAGGCAGCACTGGTTGCCGGGTGGTAGAGAAGTTCCTGAAGATCCTCCAGGTGGTGGTACAGGAGCCTGGCCAGGTGTTCAAGCCCTTCCTCCCCAGCATCATTGCCCTGTGCATGGAGCAGGTGTACCCCATCATTGCTGAGGTAGGTGGGGCCAAGGCATTAGTCTCCCAGCCCCCCCTTTCTAAAATAGTATTTGGTGGATTTTATTATACTGTCTTTATATGTGTACATGTAATATACTTCGAACCTCTTCCGTTCCTCATACTCTCTCATCTGCTATCCCTCCTACTGATACCAACCCCAGTCCACTTTTTACACTCACTGCATGTGCTGTAATGTCTGTTCATGAGTTATTTTAGTACTCCTATAAAATAGGTTTTGTTCTGTTTTGTTTCCAAAAAAGAATGTCTTTAACTTGGTAGTCTTGTTAAGTTGGTCAAGTAAATTAGAACTACTCTGGTGTCAGCATAGCAGGTTAGTTTAGGTAGTCAGTTTCCTGTAGCAAGCAGTTTATAATGTGATGTGACTATCTGGTTTTCTATAGCTGAACACTGTGACAAATGTACTTTCCTCCAAGGTCTCAGGGATGCAGGGCAGGTCTTGAAACCATTCAGAAAAACCTTTCCTTGTCATAGGAAAGGGCTGCATCCTTTGAAAACAGGCACTCAGCATGGTAAGATCCAGGATAAATGCAGCGGTAACTGGGGCTTATGCTAATAGTTAGGGAAGTAAAAGCTAAGCTTAACTGTCTGACCAAAACTCAAGCAGGTGCTTGGCCTCTTGAGACTCTGTGCACCCTCTACAGCTTCCTGCTGTGGAAGCATGCCTCAGGTGCCAATTTAATTTTAATCAAAGCTGGATTAAAACTCTCTCTGGATTAAAGGTCTCTTGAGTTCTACAGATACACTTGGAATAATGTGACTTGCATGTCCGTAATGACTTGGAGATTTTGGTTAAGTGAGATATGCGTGCTGCACCAGAATCCTGACTGCCATAGACGAGAAGAGAGGCCTAGACGGTAGTTAACCTAGCCTGTGGCTTCCACGGCAAGGCTCTCTTCAGCGGTTCTTTCTGTGCTTCCTAGGTGCTTACCTCGCCTTGTCTGTGGAGAGCACAGCTGCTTCTGAGGCACCTTGGCTTTAGAATTTGCTTGAGGCCAGCAGGTCAGCTGCGGTAGCATTTTATTCTGGAAAGAGCAGCATACTAGGAAGACAGGGCAGATCAAGTGAGCTGCTTTCTGAAGAGAAAGTCCGGATTCTTGTTACTTCTTTATGTTACAGCCAGTGGACAAAGCCAAGTGCTTCTGTCAGAAAAAAGGCCCCTTGGTAATGACCTGTGCACCTTGCTCAGGTGCAGGCCTATCTCTGCTGAAGTGCTCCTTTGTGAACTGCCCACTCCACAGGGCTTGATGCCCTCTGGACCAGAAGTGTGCTGTCACCAGATGTCTCAGGCTTCTGTGTTGCACTGGGCCTAGGCTGTGAGTGGTCCTCCGAACTACAAGAAGGGAAGGTGTGAGCATCCAGGTGAGGCACACACCTATGATTCCAGCACTCAGGAGGTGGAGGCAGGAGAATTGAGTTCAAGGCCAGCTTGGGTAAAGTTACCAAGATCAAAAAAAAAAAAAAAAAGCTAAGGGCTTGGCTTGCTAGGCAAGCTTGAGGCCCTGGATTCAAACAACACACACACACACAAAGAAGAAGGTCAAGGTCAATTGTGTGTGTCTCCTCAGCGCCCTTCCCCTGATGTGAAGGCTGAGCTGTTTGAGCTCCTCTTCCGGACACTTCATCACAACTGGCGGTACTTCTTCAAGTCCACAGTCTTGGCCAGTGTGCAGAGGAGTGTGGCAGAGGATCAAATGGAGAATGAGCCCCAGTTCAGTGCCATCATGCAGGTGAGGCTTCAGCGTGACCGAAAACAGACAGGTCTTTCTTGGTGCTGCCTGGTCCCGTGGCCTAACATTCCTTGAGTTCTTCTCTGGCATACAGTCTACTTCTCCAACCCAGCTCTCACAGTCCTACAGGCATGGGTCTGAAGCCAGCTTTGCCTGTTAATACCTGCCAAGTAAATTAGTGTCTTGGGCCTCATTGCCTGTTTCAGGGGATTGTTGTGAGGTAAGTGAAGCAGCATTGAGTACATGGTGAGGGAGAGGGGAAGGGGTGTAGGGGGGTCATCATGGTTCATGCCATGTTGGGAAAAATGCTGCCCTATGGATTACCACTCACTGTCAGATCAGTGCACTTGAAAACTCAGGTGTATTATGATATGAAACCCTCGTTCAGCTAGAAGATTATGTTTTTCTTTAGTACATGCTTTTCTTCATAGGAAAGTCCAAGGAGGTATTCAGCCTCCCTGCCAACGCATAGCATGCATGGGGGTGCATGTACACTCATAGTCTTGTGTGGAAACTTTTCTTGGAGTCCTTCATCTTCTGATCTCTACCAAGGACTTGGGTTTGGAGTGGTTGGGTGTTTGCTTCCTCTGGTTCCATCCTTGCTATCTTAAGACTGCTTTGCACACTGAGGCCTGGTTCTCCACACCCCCCCCACCTCCCCCTCCCCCTACACTCAAGGCTAGTAAAAGCCACTTTGGAACATACTTTCATAGTTTGGCAGTTTTCTATTTTTTTTTTTTTTTTTTTTAGTGGGACTAGGGTTTGAACTCAGGGCTTCACTTTCACAAAGCAGGCACTCTAACACTTGAGCCATATCTCCAGTTCATTGTGCTCTGGTTATTTTGGAGATGGGGTCTTGCAAATTATTTGCTTGGTCTGGCTTCAAATCTCGATCCTCCCTATCTCAGCCTCCCAAGTAGCTAGAATTATAGGCATGAGCCACTGGCACCTGGAAAATTTGGCAATTTCTTACAGTGTTAGATATATAATTGAGCTTCTGACCTAGCAATCCTACATCTAAGTATTTTGCTCACGTTGAGTGAAACATATGTTCACACAGACGTTTATAGTAGCTGTTTTCATAATTGACCCAAACTGGAAGCAGTCCAAGTATCTTCCCGCTGGTGGATGGAGAAACCAACTAGTACAGGCGTGCACACTACTCAAAAGCAGGAAAAGAAGGAACACGTTGTTGGCACACATAGCCCGGGTGAATTTCAAGTGCCTGTGCTAGATGAAACAGGCATATCCAATGGCTGTGTAACACGTGCCCTTCCGTTGTATGTCATTATGGGAAAGGCAGAACTTCAGGGTTAGAGAATGGGCAGTGCTTGCCTGGTGCTCGGGGCAGAGGATTGCTGCAAAGGTGGTGAAGGGAACATTTCAGTGTGAGGGAGATGTCGTATGTCTCGATGGTGATGGTAGTGGCACAGCTCTATGCTGGTCAGATCTACAGTGCCAAAGCTTCACTGTGTCACTTCAGTCAACCTGACTTTAACAAATGGTGGAGACTTCTTGGCATCATGGAGATCCCATTGCTGCAGCAGGGATTACAAGCTCTACTTCTTATAGTGGCCTCAGGACAGAATGGCAGAGTAGTAGCTGGCCATTTCCTCTATAGAGGGTTCCTGTGGGCCTCTCCCCACCCATCTCCAACCACTTTCTATTGGAGCATGCCACTTTGTGTTGGGGTGGGGGGGATCATTTGCTTTTGCCTCTGAACTTGTAACTTTTACACTTACAGATTCTAAGGCAGTTCAGAATTTGTTGTTGCTCAACCCCAAGGCAGAGGTAGCTGGTTGAGAAGGATCCTCAAGGATTGTGGACCAGGAGCCCTGGGAGTTGAGGAGCAGGAGGGCTCCTAAAGGGATTGGTGGCTTTGACGAGGCAGGGAGTCAGGCAGGCAGGCAGGCTTTGGTGTGTGCTGATTGCTGACTAGTACTGTAAGCTGCTTCTTGCTTCAAAGACAGTCCCTTAAAAGGACACTAGTGGTTTCTGATTAAGGTGCAAGGGGAGACCAAAAGAAGTGAGACCTGGTGGGGAAGACTTAGCCACTAAGACTTACAAGGTGCACTGGAGAGATCTGAGCAGACAGGAGAATTGAGATGGGGTCAAAGCGAGGGCCTGAGGCTGCTTATAAAGTGGTGGTCTTATTTCCCAGGCTTTTGGTCAGTCCTTTCTCCAGCCCGACATCCATCTTTTCAAGCAAAATCTCTTCTACTTGGAGACGCTCAACACCAAGCAGAAGCTGTATCACAAGGTAGGTGCCCATCTCTTGGAAAGATTCCTGCATCCAAGCATCCTGGGTTCAGTTCCACCTCTTCAAGTCCCTAGCTGGGGAGCATAATGGAGCGTAGGCTAGGGCCAGGGCAGCTTCAGGGGCCTGAGTGAGCTCTCGTGACCAACACTTCTTTCTGCACCTCGGTCTACAGAAGATCTTCCGGACGACCATGCTGTTCCAGTTTGTGAATGTGCTGCTCCAGGTCCTGGTCCACAAGTCCATGACCTTCTGCAGGAGGAGATAGGCATTGCCATCTACAACATGGCATCTGTCGACTTCGAGGGCTTCTTCTCAGCCTTCCTTCCAGAGTTCCTGACTGGCTGCGACGGTGTGGACACCAACCAGAAAAATGTGCTGGGGCGGAACTTCAAGCTGGACCGGGTAAGGAGAAAGGAGGGCGTGTGGCAAGCCTGTCGCCCATTCAGTGAGGGAGACAGCTGCAGCAGAGGCACATTAGGGCCTCTGTGTGCTTTGTGTTCTCAGTAGCTTGGTGGCAGTCCCGGCATTGCTAGAGGACTCACCAGCGGCAGAGAGTGAGAGTAGATTGAGGGAAGTCTCAGTCATTGAATTCCCACTCCTGGCCCTAGCAGACCACTTACTTTGTCTTGGCTTCTCTAACATGCTCCACCCCACCAGAGGGAAAGGTTTCCTATGGGTAATGAGCTCTTACAGGGTCAGTCCCATTAAGTATAATGAAAGCTACATTGCCACTATGCCCAAACTTGCAGACAGGTTGAGAAGATCGGTGCTTGGGAGCTGCAGCTCTGGGTCCCCAGAGTTAGAAAACGCCCCGGCTCTTCCCAGAGCTCTTTCTAGCCTGGCCCCAGCACTATGTGGGCTAAGCTGCTCCAGGTCTTCACCCTCCAGTGCCACCTCAGGGAGATTGGGTGACCTGCCCAACTTAGGTTGTCCCATGGGTTGGCGCTGGGGCATTGATGGCTCTGGAGGCCCATGAAGCATCGCTGTTGGTGTCCAGGACCCATGGTGCCCAGCTTTTCCTGTCCTAGGACAGAGGTCACTGCCTCTTCCCGTGCCAGGTGTCCAAATCTCCTCTCTGTAGACCCTTCTTGGAACTCTTCTTACAGAACAAGTTATTCCTCTGCGACCCTCCTGTGGTGAGCTGCCGAGAAGCCTGTGTTTTCCCCGCATTCTTGGTGTCTTAACTCCTGCACCTAAGCAGAATATCCCCATCCCGCTTCAGGGCTGGTTCCTGCAGCTCTTGCTGGCCACACTGCTGCTGCTTCTCTCGCTTGTGAAGAGTGCCAGGAGAGCTGTCTCACACTGAGATCCTACTGTCATTTGTCTTGGAATCTTCCTTTCCTCTTCGGATCTGTCTTATTCTCTCTTAAGCTTGAAGCTTACTCCAGCCACTGGGGGGTTTTTCTTGTTTCCAGATAGTGTTAAACTCCAGTATTTAGTGATCGGTGTTCAATGATGTTGGTATCAGTTAACTTCTTGATTTAAAGAATACTTTCCAAATCAGGATATTCATCAGAAGCCTCCAGTGTATGTATTAAAACTGGAAAAGAACGGGCTCTTGTATTCTACCAAGAAAGTCCTAGCTTGGTGTTTGAGAGCCATTGGTTTAAAAGACATCTCTCGGTTGGTTTTCTTTCGAATGAGCAAGGAATCATACTTTCTGTTCATTCATTTGTTTGCTGTGTGTTTGAGGCCAGCTGCCCCTCAGCCCAATGCCAGGCACTGGACACCTGTTTCTGTCTCCACTCAAGTGCAGCGGGAGTAGCACAGAGCCCCCTATGGACCACACTGTGCCCAGCACTTTCCTTTCTGGGCCAGTTAAGCTTTTAGTAACCTGCAGTGCATCTGCTGTTCTTGTTGTTCACTGTACCTCACAAGTAACCAAGACTCAGAAGATGGTGGGCAAGTGGCAGTACAGAATCTAGAAGTAGTAGAGCCAGAGAGCAGGATCCAGGCTGGGGATTGTAGCTACAGAGCTGCAGTGTGAGCATAGGTACCAACCTGGCTGGCTTGGAGACCTCCGAGCAGCTTCTTTGCAGGAGGCAGCTTTGAGCTGAGTCTGGAAGAGGAGTTCACTCAGTGGAGAAATGTTGGGGCCGGAGAGCTGGAGGACCCTTGGCTGCTGAAGAAGGGATCACTGTGGTACCACCAGCCAGGGCAGGGAGCTGGCTGTGTCTATGGCAGGACTCTGTCTGCTGTTCTCTATTCTCCTTTTACAGACCCTGAATGGTAGGCTTTCAGCACCCCACACTAAAGCCAGGAAGGTGTCACAGTGGGTCGGGGAGCATTCGAAGTCCAGTCTGCAAGTCTCTCCACCTTGCCCTCTTCACAGTCTGTCTCCAACACCCCATAGGTGGGGAAGGAGAGGGTTGAGGGGCAGCTAGGCTGGTGCTAGAGAAGCTGGGCTCGGGGGCCAACATGCTCCTCCAGCCTGGACCCTCCACTCCCTGTGTGCACAATCGGGGACAGGCTGAGAAAAGCAGCACTGCAGGGCCACGTTGCTGTATAAAGACCTGACATCTGGGAATTAATTGCTGTGGTTCCTGGCCCATGGAAGCCTAGAGGAGTATTTTTAGCTGTTTCTTGTTTTCTCTGCAGTGCCTTACATGTGGAACTTTGAGTTGTGTAAAAGGTCTGCATAGCTCCACAGCACACTTGGGGCCCAGGTGTGGAAGCAGCTGGTGGGTGGGGCCCTGGGGTGTTGGGGACAGGCAGGCCTTCAGGGGCCAGGCTGTAGCTGTGCCCCTGCCTTTCAGGACTTACCCTCGTTCACCCAGAATGTGCACAGGCTGGTCAACGACCTACGCTACTACCGGCTCTGCAACGACAGCCTGCCCCCCGGCACTGTGAAGCTCTAGCTCGGCCTGAGCTGCCTGTCACACCACCTCTGCCTGCAGCACAGCATCCCAGACAAGTCTCACCACTCCTTGGAATCTGCACCCTGAGCAGCACAGCTTGCCTCCACCCTCCTGCTGCCACCTAGTAGGGCCGTCTTAGGATCCACCTTAGCACTGGTGGAGTCCCAGCATTTGGAGCAGGTAGAGGGGCAAGTGGCTGGGTGCCCCCATGAGTGGTCTGTGCAGATTATGTGCATATCAGTCATGGGACAGAACTGCCAAGGACAGCTTACAACAGTGCCACCTTCTCACCATTCCACTCCCGCCTCTCCCTGGCCCAGCAGCTAAGGAGAGACCGACCGGAACTGTTTCTGTCGAGCCTTCCACCCCTCCAATTGCCTTGAAGTCTCTGCTTTGTCAGAGATTTGCAAAGACTTATGTTTTTGTTCTTGTTTTCTCATCATTCCATTGTGATACTAAGAAAATAAAATGCTTACATTGTTGTTATAGAAATGCTGGCTGGGAACCTTATTTCTACTGGTGCCTCCTTCGGGCCAGCATCCATCTGAATGGTGCCTGAAGCCTTGTGCTGTGAGGAAGCACCACAGAGGAGACTGGCTGGCATAGAGTCGGTTGTGCCCCACCTTCTAGATAACATCTCCTTTAAGCCATGTGAAGAAACGGTCCCCATTTCTCATACTTGCTGTGACAGTGAGCCTAGGTCCTGACTCCTCACCTCCCAGGGAACAAGTGGATCCCCTCTTAGAGGCCCAGTCAGGAATTGTTCCTTGGGACTGAAATCTGACTGAGGACAATAGGAGAGCAGGTTGGAGGGGACAGAGAGGGAGAAGAGGAGTGTGCCAGCTGGGAGTGGGTGAGGCGCAGGCTTTCCGCTGTGTATGAGAGCTGAGCTTTCTCAGCCATCCACATGTGGAAACGGCACATGTCCTCATTTTCCAAAACAACAAATCAGCAGTTCCTTTTCAGGTGTCCTGCTGACAGACAGGACAGGCAGACCATGGTAGGTTGTGATGTGGAGTCACACCTAGCCCAATGACATCTCCCTAGAAAGTGAAGCCAAGTTTCAGAGAAGGGGGCAGTTGGGCACTGGCTTGTGGGCAGAACTGGGTGGGGGAAAAGGGAGTTGTGGGATGGGCTCTGTGTGTGTGTGTGTGTGTGTGTGTGTGAGAGAGAGAGAGAGCACATGCGTGCGCAAGCATTGCTGCCTTTGCTCTCGGTCAGCCACAGCCTTGCAGCTAACCTCCACTCAGAGTTGGGAAAAGAGGAATTGGAGCACCAATTGCTCTTCTGCAGAAAGTGAGCACACAGTTCTCATGAAACTGTAAAATACCACCCTGCTTGCCCTCCTGGAGGTAGGAGAGTCTGTCTGCATGCCCAGAAATAGTGGATTTGTCACCTATGTACCCAACCCTGGGGCAGAAAAGCCCAGGCAGGACGTGGGCTAGAGGAACAAAGGCCTTGGGGAGGAAGGTGGGGCAGGCTGGCTGGAGGGGTTTGGAACAAGGCAGATGGGCATGGCCCCAGCTCTGAGGGTTGTGTGAGCTCTCAGTTCTTGGCCTGTCTCCTCCCCAGTAGGGGACCAGAGCCCCACGCAGGAACTGGCACAGGGTGGGATTGGATGAGCTCTTAGGTCCTAGACAAATCTGGAAATTGTCTTTATTTTCGGAGGACAGGGTGGGAAGGATGGAGATGGGCAAGAGCAAGCTATTTGGTGAGTCTGTCCCTGCCACCTGGGAGTGCATGGAGCGTGTGTGTCCTTTATGTTTACCAAGAGACACAGCCACTGACTTCTGGAAGAGAGCAGTGAAGTCTTCATCCTCAGAAGTCCTAGGGCATCTTCCACTCCCAACCTTTGCCTCACACAACGCAGGGGGGAGTTTTGTTTTTTAAACAGCATTTATTTTTCTACCCACTATTAAATGATTGTTGTAGAACACATAAAATGTGCATTAAATTCTTTAAAAAAATAATCTCACTGCTCAGAGAAAATAACCTTTGATATTTGATACCATTTTCTTTCCTTTTTTCCCTTATATGGGTCCAAATATGTGCGGCCTTTCCTCCCTTTCTTCCTTCCTTCCTTCCTCCCTCCCTCCTTCCCTCTCTCCCTTTTTTATACATTTAATCCATGGGGACTGTTTCCTTGTGCTATTAAATACACTACAAAAGCATGCTTGTGAGTGACAGGTGGCATTCCATCATGGAGACATACCACCACCATCTGTATGACTTTATTACTGATGATGCTGCTGTGAACATCTGGGTACATGACTCTGCACTTGTCTGTTTCCATAAGCTAGATTCCATAACTTCTGGGTCTCAAATGATTTTGAAGTTTGTGGTGGCTGCTGTTGGGGCCTGATTTCTGTTCTGAAGGAGGATAAAAGTGGCTTTGGAGCTGCAAGGTGTCTGAGCAGAAAGGCTCCACGGGGGCCACTTGACTAAATCAACCCTGGGCTGACACAGCCAGGGCGCCTGTGTGCTTCTGAGCACCTTCTCATCCCAGTGCCCCTCTGTAACACAGCTGCAGGACAGCTGAGATTGCAGACTGGAGAGAGGACAGCAGCTGGTGCTTCTAGTTGGCTTCTTGTGCCTTGGCAGAACTGTGATTGATGGCCATTCATTAACTTAACACACAATTTGTCAAAGTCATCTGCGAGCCAGGTGCTGGGCCAATATGAAGGACTTGGAGATTAGTGAGAGACAGCCTGTGTCCCCAAGGATTCACAGGCCAGTGGGGAGACAGGCCGGCAGATTGCCGTAAAACGATGTGCCCAGCTCTGTGATTGGGGGTGGAGGGATTCTGGAGGAAGCAGCTGGGCTAAGGGCCAAGGAAGGCCTCGCTGTGGGTGACAGTCATCTGTGTAGGTCACTGGAGCATATGGAGGAACTCACCTGTGGGCAGGTGAGTAGGCTGGGGTCTCGGGGAGAAGGTAAAGAGGCAGAGGGGTGACAGCATCTGCAGGCCGGAGCTGACTAGGACATTGTGGATCTCTAGGAAGCTTGAGTGGGTTATGGGGAGTGTGCTGGTCACCCCTCTTCCAAACCAAGACACGTGCAAAAATTTTGGGACAGCAGCTGTCCACCAGGATTCCCGCCTCCTCTCCCGAGTGATGGAAAAGGATGTGCCTGGCTCAGTGATAGAAAGATGAGAGAGGACAAGTCCTACCAGTGCTCTTCCTTCCCACTTCAAACCCACTGCTAGGCCCAAGTGGGTGATGGGTGGTGCAAGTTCTGGGCGTGGAGCAGACTGGTGAGCACAGATCTGCCCTGGCTCACCTCCCACAGCTCTCTGGGAGGCCTCAGCCTCGGCCTTGGCCTCCCCCTCCTCTCCACTGGGCCACTGTTCCATTTACCTCACCCCAGCCAGAATCTCCCCCAACTCCTCTGCACTCCTTCCTCTCCACCCTAGAGCGTCGTGACCACCACCACCACCACCAAGAAGGAACTTCGCTCTGAGCAGTGCCCCTAAAATGTTGAATTCGTGAGGATTTTTCAGATGTACCCTGTGGGTTTTCCTGAGTCACCCAGAGCCAGTGACTTCTGACTCATTTTCAGTGTGATGAGATCCTGTCCTTAGGCCCAGGAGAGTGGCTCAAGTGGTAGAGTGCCTGCCTAGCAAGCAGGAGGCCCTGAGTTCAAACCCCAGGACTTAAAAAAAAAAAAAAAAAGTCTCAGAACAGAGACCTTTCAGGACTCTGCAGTGAGAGCCTTGAGAACAGGCTATTCATTCAAGGGCTCCCTTTTCCGCTCCTCCTTCTGTATCATTTTGAGATATCTTTTAAAAGCCCTGTTAATTAAAAGGCCCTTGGATTGGGTGGGGCCAGGGTTGATGGCAGACCTGGGTAGGCCCAAGCATCCAAGCAGCTGACCAGAGTCAGCCTGGAGCCCCCAGGGTCCTCTGTAGGGTGAAAGTGGCTTTTGTGAGGGTTTGGAAAATTAATTACTTAATAAAACATCCAGGAGCTTCACAGGCATACCATAGGTCGGCATTTGGTAACAGGTTTACTTTTTAAAAAATAAGCTTAATTTTTATTCCCCCTGTCCTTAGTATGGAAATAATACATATTCTTTGTAGATAAATAAAAAGAAAACAGTCTCCCAAGTCTTTTTTTTGAGACAGGGTCTCAGTACAGAGCCCAGGCCAGCCTGGACACAAGATCCTCCTGCCTCCACCACCCAAGTGCTGGGATCACAGAGGTATGCCACCATGCCTGGGTGCTAAGTGAGTTAATAAACATCCCCACAGGTGCCTTCTGTACCTTTCTGTGTATGTGTGTGCATGTACCCTTGTTGTACCCCTGACTCTCAGATCATGTCACACGTGTGGTGAGTCCTACCCCTGAGGCCTCTGCACACGCCCTTGGCAGGTCTTGCAGGCCTTCTAAAAACCACAGGTGTCTGACTGTTTAACCTAAGCCAGTTGGGCAGAAGCAAGGTGTGGCCCTGGAGGGACTCTGCCCCATGCTGGTGTCTCCAGCTGTCCTCATATGGTCAGATATCACCACTGTTCTTGGAGCCTAGGGGTGGCATAGTCCCCATTTTGTGTAGTCTGCAGCTGGCTGGTGCTGCCTCTCCCCCTCTCCCTTGTGTGCCATGCTGGGGTTGATGATTCCTGAGCCTGGGGATTCAAGACAGCCATGTTTCTAGTCTCTGAAGGACCCTGGAGCTGAAGTGATTCTGGCCTTGGGAGGGCCAGCAGGGAAGGGGTGGTGGTGGGGACTTAAGTTTAGTGCTCTTATAACCAGAGTCCTAGGCTAGAAGGCCCAACTCCAGGGGTTCCACATGTCAGGCCCAGCTACTTGCCCCAGTATGCCAAATAAAGAGAAGAGTGGCGATGAAGGGCAGAGAAAGAAGATTTAACAGACAGCTGTGGTATGGGCACTGTAAGCACTCCAGCAATCTTCAGGGCACAGAGATGGTTTAAACAGAAGAACTGGAGCAGGGGTAGGAGGCATGCATAATTATTCAACTGTCCCAGTCCCAGTGTGGCCTGGTTGACCATTATCTCAGTTTTAGAACTGGGAGGGGTTCCAGAGAAGTTCTCTTCACTGTCATCACTTGAGGGGAGAAATCTGGTCACCATAAGATGATCACTCCTGCTCCAGGGGACAGCCTTATCACAGGTAATTGTCCTCATTTGGGAGTTGCTCTGCCCCTGAGGCTCTGTTGTTCCTTGGGGGTAGTTCGGACCTTTGTCATGAAGATGTTATCTATCAGTTGTGGAACCCAAGGTGGCTGCAGGAGAGACACAGCAAAGGAGACAGGCAAAATGGAAGCAGAGATGCCAAACTTTCTTCCTGTTTTTAGTTACCTTGTGGGCCCAAGTAAGGTGTCAGTGCTTTTTAGTAAAGTGGTTTCTAAGTACCTGTCATAATCTGTTCCTAAATTTCTAAAATGTCCCCTTTCCCTCACTTCCTGGAGGAGACCAGCTCAGGCTTGCCTTCTGCAGGCACCTACCTACTCCCTAGGATTTCCTGCCTACAGGAAACATGCTTAATGATAAATGGAGAAGCCAGTTGCAATGGCAAACATCTGTAATCCTAGCAACTTGGGAGGCTGAGATGGGGAGGATTGCAGTTCCAGGCCAGCCTGGACAAAAAGTTTGAGAGCACCCCACCCCCAACCAACAGCTGAGTGCAGGCATGTTTAACTTGGGAGGCTGAGATGGGAAGGATCACAGTTCCAGGCCAGGCGGGGCAAAAAAAAAAAAATTGTGAAATAAGCTTATCAGTGGCGTGTGCCTGGTCTTCCAGCTGTGTCAGGCAAAGTGTAAAGTAGGAGGATCACTGTCCAGGCTGTCTGGGTAGAAAGTGAGGCCCTATTTCCAAAAATAACCAGAGCAAAAGGGCTGGCAGTTTGACACAGGTGCCCAGGTGAGCTGTGGCCTGCATCCTCTGTGGCTTCGGCCTTGCCATTGCACACTGGTCTGCTTCCCTAGTCACACTGGGAAACTAAGGCAGCTTGTGTCCTCCTGAGGGTCAGGGAAGCCTCCTGTGCTTATGTCA